CACAAGCATGTATATACACCAGTCACAAGCATGTATATACATCAGTCACAATCTTGTATATACACCAGACACAAGCATGTATATACACCAGTCTCAAGCATGCATATACGCCATTCACAATCTTGTATATATACCAGTCACAAGCATGTATACACCAGTCACAAGCATGTATACACCAGTCACAAGCATGTATATATACCAGTCACAATATATATATATACCAGTCACAAGCATGTATATATACCAGTCACAAATTTATATATACAGCAGTCACAAGCATCTATATACACAAGTCATAAGCATATATATACACCAGTCACAAGCATGTATATACACACAGTCACAAGCATGTATATAAAGGAGTCACACGCATGTATATACACCTGTCACTAGCATATATATACCAGTCACAAGCATGTATATACACCAGTCACAAGCATGTATATACACCATCACAAGCATGAATATACACCAGTCACAAGAATGTATATACACCAATCACAAGCATGTATATACCAGTCACAAGAATGTATATACACCAGTCACAAGCATGTATATACACCGATCACAAGCATGTATATACACCAGTCACAAGCATGTATATACCAGTCACAAGCATGTATATACACCAGTCACAATCATCTATATATACCAGTCACAAGCATGTATACACCAGTCACAAGAATGTATACACCAGTCACAAGAATGTATATACACTAGTCACAAGCATATATATACCAGTCACAAGCATGTATATACCAGTCACAAGCATGTATATACCCGTGTCACAAGCCTGTATATACACCAGTCACAAGCATGTATATACACCAGTCACAAGCATGTATATACACCAGCCACAAGCATGTATATACACCAGTCACAGTCATATATATATACCGATCACAAGCATGTATATATACAAGTCACAAGCATGTATATACACCAGTCACAGGCATATATATATACCGATCACAAGCATATATACACACCGATCAGAAGCATGTATATACACCGATCACAAGCATGTATATACACCAGTCACAAGCATGTATATACACCATGTATATATCACAAGCATATATATATACACATGGGTCACAAGCATGTATATACACCAGTCACAAGCATATATATAAGCATGTATATACACCTGTCACAAGCATGTATATACCAGGCACAATCTTGTATATACACCTGTCACAAGCATGTATATATATACACTGATCACAAGCATGTATACACCAGTCACAAGCATGTATATACACCAGTAACAAGCATGTATATACCAGTCACAAGCATGTATATACAGAAGTCACAATCATCTATATATACCAGTCACAAGCATGTATACACCAGTCACAAGCATGTATATATACCAGTCACAAGTTTATATATACCAGTCACAAGCATGTATATACACCAGTCACATGTATATATATATACCAATCACAAGAATGTATACACTGATCACAAGCATGTATACACCAGTCGAAAGCATGTATTTACACTGATCACAAGCATGTATACACCTGTCACAAACATATATATACACCGATCACAAGCATGTATACACCAGTCACAAGCATGTATATACACCAGACACAAGCATGTATATACACCAGTCACAAGCATGTTTATATACCAGTCAGAAGCATGTATATACCCAAGTCACAAGCCTGTATATACACCAGTCACAAGCATATATACACTCCGATCAGAAGCATGTATAAGCATGTATATACACCGATCACAAGTATATACACCAGTCACAAGCATGTATATACACCAGTCATAATCTTGTGTATACACCAGACACAAGCAACACCAGTCCAAGCATGTATTAACAACAGACACAAACATGTATATACCCCAATCACAAGAATGTATATATACAAGTCACAAGCATGTATATACACCAGTCACAGGCATATATATATACCGATCACAAGCATGTATATACACCGATAACAAGCATGTATATACACCAGTCACAAGCATATATATACCAGTCAAAAGCTTGTATATACACCAGTCACATGCATGTATATACACCAGTCACAACCATGTATATACCAATCACAAGCTTGTATATACCAGTCACAAGGATGTATATACCAGTCACAAGCATGTATATACCCAAGTCACAAGCATATATACACACCGATCAGAAGCATGTATATACACCGATCACAAGCATGTATATACACCAGTCACAAGCATGTATATACACCAGTCACAAGCATGTATATACACCAGTCACAATCTTGTAAATACACCAGACACAAGCAACACCAGTCCAAGCATGTATTAACAACAGACACAAGCATGTATATACACCAATCACAAGAATGTATATACACCAGTCACAAGCATGTATATACATCAGTAACAGGCATGTACATATACCAGTCACAAGCATGTATATACACCGGTCATGAGCATGTATATACACCAGTCACAATCTTGTATATATACCAGTTACAAGCATGTATATATACCAGTCACAAATTTATATATACCAGTCACAAGCATGTATATACACCAGTCACAGGCATATATAAATACCGATCACAAGTATGTATACACTGATCACAAGCATGTATGCACCGATCACAAGCATGTATGCACCGATCACAAGCATGTATATACACTGATCACAAGCATGTATACACCTGTCACAAGCATGTATATACACCGATCACAAGCATGTATATACACTGATCACAAGCATGTATACACCTGTCACAAGCATGGATATACACCGATCACAAGCATGTATATACACCAGTCACAAGCATGTATATACCAGTCACAAGCATGTATATACACCAGTCACAAGCATGTATACACCTGTCATAAGCATGTATACACTGATCACAAGCATGTATGCACCGATCACAAGCATTTGTATACACCGATAACAAGTACGAATATACACAAGTGACAAGCATGTATATACACCGATCACAAGCATGTATATACACCAGTCACAATCTTGTATATACACAAGTCGCAATCATGTATATACACCAGTTACAAGCCTGTATATACACCAGTCACAAGCATATATACACACCGATCAGAAGCATGTATATATACCGATCACAAGCATGTATATATACCAATCACAAGCATGTATACACCAGTCACAAGCATGTATATACACCAGTCACAAGCATGTATATACCAGTCACAAGCATGTATATACACCAGTCACAATCATCTATATATACCAGTCACAAGCATGTATACACCAGTCACAAGAAGGTATTTACACTGATCACAAGCATGTATACACCTGTCATAAGCATGTATACACTGATCACAAGCATGTATGCACCGATCACAAGCATTTGTATACACCTGTCACAAGTATGTATATACACCGATCACAAGCATAATAGGAGAAATAAAGGAGTAGTTTTATAATGCATTTTCCATTGAGATGAAGCTAATTGGAACCAATTTGGTCAGAAGCATCCATTGGTGAAGGGGATCCAATTTTTTATTGACTGAGGGTTTGACCCATTGGCGGCAGAGAGGTGGGGCCCAGAAGGGGATATAGAGGTAAAGGTTTAATTCTTTTGTTTTTCTTTTTTGCAAATTTTGTCAGTCTTCATCCTGGAAACATATCAGCCAAATATCATGCCTCTAGAACTTTTAGTTCATGAGAAGAATTTGACAGAAGATGCCGGACAAGGGACAGAAGATTGATGCCGAGCCAAGGCATAAGCTCACTCAGGTGAGCTAATAAAGGGTTGGTCCAACACTCCGGAGGCACAGGTGCAGGGACAAAGAGGAGAAATAGAGGAATATCTTTAAAGTCATTCTTTTTGTTTGGATTAAGGTATATAAAATTTTGATCATATGCATCCTTTTTGGAAGGAATATCTTTCTGAGGAAAGGGAACCAGTGTCGTATAAATGCTGGGTCTGGTTCCACAGGTACTAAGGGGGCATGCCCAAAAGAGGAAATATGAAACTCTTTCTTTGGTAGACAGGATTTTCTCCTAATTTGTTTTGAAGCCTCCTAAGGTGAATGGAACTTTTGTATGAACTAGGCATGACTCCACTAGAAGTAGAGTGGAGAGGCTCAATTGGAAACAAATCTTTATTTTCATTTTCCTTTTCCTTTGGGCCGCTTTTAAATGGAAGCCATTAGCAAAGCCTTTCATATCTGTTTATTCCAACAAGAGGTCCACGGCATTAACAGTCACGTAATATAAACAATCCTGAATATAAAGGTTGAAACTTTTAAGTGTCATACAAAAAAACAGTGATCTTGATAATAGTTAGCCAGTGTCACTAAATGCACACCATCAAAACTGTCATCCTATACTAATAATTCTTACAAAGTTATTTCCAATGGAAAATAAATGTTATGCTCAAAAATGCAAATTTTCCATCAAAAGATAGTAAAGCTAAACTCCTCTCCAGGGTAAAATATCAGACCCTTTTTGGTAAAGCACCTTCAGATGCTTCCATCCTTGAAGAGCATTTGATTTTTCCATATCTGAATGTTCAGAAAATTTTTGAAATCCGAGTCAATTTTATCCAATATGGCATCACCCATCAGCCCCTAAAGGTCAGTGAGGATCAATATGGGCATACCATCAAGCTGTCATTGTTCACTCATAATTCTAACCAAGTTCACAACTAAAGACACTTGCATCCATAAAGAGCATTTGATACTAACATATCTGAGTGTTGAGAAGCTTTTTGAAATTGAGTCAATTTAACTCATTTGACCTCCCAACATTCAGGCCCCTGTGGGGTGGGGATGGTATAATTCTCTTGTTTTGTTCATCTTAGGCCAGGGAAGGTTTATGCAAAATTTCATTGAAATTGGTTCCAGGTTTTTGAGAAGTTGATAAATGTGAAAATTCAGACGAAAATAGTCCAGGCATGCCGTTTGAAAATATGGTACACTCGTATCCTCCCTGGCCACTGATATGTGTTGACGCAGGCCATGTGACCTCAAAAAATGATAACACAACTGTAGTATAGTGACAAGTTTAATTATACCATTATTACAAAATACATATCTGATAGATTCTTACTTACAATGTTCAGTTACAGATCCTACTACTTGTAATGTGTATGTTAAATGTTTCCAGAATAAATACCTGGTAGATATGGTAATTAACTGAATTGGACAGGGAAGGAGATGGACTAGATCTAGAGCAAGTTGTCCTTTGATACATAAAGTTACATCAAGCTAGAAGAATCATTGCATTCTCATTTTTCTATCAGGTATTAAAAATTTCTTTTTAATCATTTGCAAAAAAAAATGCAAAGTTTAACCAATACCTTAAAACATGAAGGGAAGATTAGCATGAACACTGCAGTTTCTATACCAGTTTATGTTGACATTTACCTAAGCAATCATCGTAATATACTGCTGATACACATAAGCTAAAGCTACTACAAAATATTCAAACAAAATCTATGCTCAGGCATCATCTACAGCACAGCATGATGGCATTACAGTGGATGGTATCTACAAGGTCAAGGTCATATATGGGGGGATGGGGGCATGATCGTGATCGATTTGTAACTTCTGTTCCTGAGTACAAACTTTGTTATAAATGCTTCATGCTCCATGTCAATAAAACTGCCCTCTTCTTCACATCAAACATTCACATCTTGTCATTCTCTGATTTTATTAATCATATGTGATGTAAATAGAGATCAAAGTTTCTATGATTAAATGTTGACATAGCACTAACACAGTTGAAATATCATGGGTACACAACCAGTCCTTTAAGTTCTCATTAAAAATGGCTGTTTTATGTATATATGATCCTTATGTTACTGCAAAATGATTTTCGTAGGTTTAATGACTAATGTAGATTTGGCAGTTAGGTTCGTACAGAGTTTCTGTGTAAAAAGTACACATGTATCACCAATTCTAGATGTAGAACCAACATTATGCTTTCTATTTTTACTTTCATTTCTCTGAAATACATGATTTCAATGCAGTACTTTTACCTTAATTTGACTGTAATTGAAGCTATCATACATGAATAAATGACAACAGAAATTACAAAAGAAGTAAAAATTAATGTTCATCATGTTTACTTACAAGTTTTGGAGCCATATTGATATAAGAATTCCATTAAGTATGCATAGTTGAGTGTCTGCATTATATGTATTTTTATTTCAAGTTATTCAAAAGAGAGACACTTTCTTCTGATAATGTTGAAACCATGGCTTAATCTTTTCCTACAATGAAACCAACATGGACAGCTTCCCATCAATCACCCTATTGTGAATTTTCCATTTCTAGAAAGTAACAGTCCCGCATCCCCATACCTTTGGTGTTAACATGTTGCAATTATTCAATATTTAAGGGCCTGTTCCCATGATCATGATTTTCATGTAAGAAATCATCAACTGACAGACTAACTTGTTACAGAGTTTCAAAAGATGCATTTTGATGAAAATTATGAGGAAGTTTTACAATCATCACAGTGATCTCATTGAAAATTTTCTATTTCTTATTGCAAAAAGGATGTATTTGCCTGTTGGTTCCATTCTTGTACATGCTGTTTCCATTTGAGAATGTGTTATTACTTATTTGGATTGACCAAGATTTTACATGGCGGGTGTCATCAAAGCAGAAGACACTCTTCAAGGGCACCTGGTCTTACAATTGTACTTTTTCAGGTGTCTTTTGTTCACATTTTAACCCAATTTTATTCACTTTGAGTTTGGGTTATGACTATGTTGACATTTTGATATTTCATTGTTGTTCTTGCAGAAGAATGTATGTTACAAGTTTCAAATGATACAGTAGCAGTTCAAAACACAGAGTGTAAATATTCATGTCTGTTCAGATTTGAATTTACTGAAAATGAACACAATATGTCAACCTAAACACTGTTCAGTTTCAATGCCTATTGAAAAGACAAAATATGAACTCATTATCCTTCAAAATTGAAAAAAAAATGCTATTACTAGGAAGAACCACATATTGTTGACAGATTTTTAAATGGATGTGAGATTTCCTAGTCTCACCTTAGGCTTGGGACAAGGTGATTCCACTTTTATACCTATTGCATCATGGCAATGATGCAAAGCATTTGGATAACAAAAACAAATACCTAAGGCTAAGAGAAAAATGATCCTTCAGCCCTTGTTGGTGAGATTGGGGATCTTTGGGAAAGCTCCTGTTTGGTAACTTTATCAACAATACCCATCAGGTTTAGGTATCCTTTTCTCACCTATTAATCCATCAGAAACTGTCTATAAAGAATTAAGCATGAGTGGACATATGTGGCCAAATGAGTTGATGTTGTACAAAAAATACAATAGTAGTAAGTTAATAGTCATTTCTGTAAGGTAGCACTGTAAGGAGACTTTGAGAATGCCTAACCAAAGGGAGTTATTGTGTGGAAATAGATTTCATATCAGGAGTCACTGTGACCTTGAACTTTGACTTTCAGGTAAAACTCTTTCCACTAGGATGTACTAAAATTATAATTTGGTGTTACAGCAGCTAAACTAAATATACCAAATTGGTTCCAAAATAATAAAACTGTTCACTACCACCCTCATAACTGAAATTAACCTGTTCAGTGCTATTCAAAGTTACGGTTAAAGTATAAGATGTTAACAGACAACTGTACAACAGTCATTGAAGGATAGAAATAGCTGACACAATTTGTATACAGCTAAACACTACAACTAACATCAGATTTCAAAAAATTCCATTAAACACACATTTGTCTATATCTACTGAATTCTCACAGCACTCTAGGAGCTAAACCAAGAAAGTTTATGCAGCACATATTGTGGAGCTCATAACAAGAGGGCAAAAAAATATCAACAAACTCAAATAAATCTGTATCTTAACTACTGTTAGTGGCAGCTGTTAGTTGGACACCTTCACCCTCATAGAATATCCTGCAATCTCAAAATTTCTGACAGGAAATCATACATCTCTAATTGATCTATTCAGAGTAATACACAAGTTTAATTGGAGCCTTGAACTATTTTAGGTAAGAATGATGTTCAATCAGGTACTTTTTCCTTCAAAAATTTTTTTTTTTAACAAAATGTGGAGATCCTTACATAAAGACTATACACATTTGGTATGAACATCATAGGAATTGCACAGCTTGAAAGATATCTTCAACTAATTGATTGCAACTTTAGAAATAATCATTTAAAGTAAGTTGTAAAAAATAGAATACATTTGCTTAACAACAAGAAAAAATGGTCTAGCCAGTAAACCCATCGTATACAGTACAATATAACTATTGCATTGAACATACTCTAGTCAAAATACAGCAATCTGACATTACAACATTAACACCATGCAAACTCATATGTCAGAAAAGTTTGGCTTTTAAACTTATAACATTAAATCAATATATAGAAATGAAAATTTAGTCAATGTTTTCAAAAAAAATTTCAAATTTTACCATTCCAAAAAAGTGAAGTATTCAAAGAGTAATAGAGTTCATGCAGGTTAACAACATAAATGTGTTAGTTACTGTCTTCAAATCTCACACATATGAAATGTGAGTGTTAGATACGGTCTTCAAACCTATAACTTAGACAATAGAAGTAATGAAACACACATGAAATGTGCATATCAAGAATCTTTGTTAGTATTTCTACTAGTCATGTCTATTTAACACAAGAAGTTGTTAAATTAAAACATATCAAACTTTCTATCTTAAATAATTAAGATTTTTTCTTTGGTGATTAGTGATTAAAAGAATGTTTTCTGTATATTTCTTATCATTATTTTTGAAAATATCTGGGTAAGAAATATTCTTTCTTACAGATCTATTCAACAATAAATATTTCTTATAATTATGTATAAGTATATGTATGTTACAATGAATTTAATTCTTGTTTGCATTCGCCATTAAAACATGCACTGAACCACTGCCAATACAGAGACAAGTATACCATGGCTTTGGACCCTTACAAACACTTTACAACCTACATACAATATTCAAATCATTCCTCGTCAATACCAACAATATGTGGAAGCTGCACATCTGAAAATTCATAAACAATTATCTGCATACATTAAAACATGTTTATTTCATACCAAAATATTTGTCCTCTTCCAAACCTACACTACTTAACTGTATAATCACACTTTCAAAGCAGTGAAAAACAGGTTTTCGTAGTATCATGTAAACATATTTTATTGTACTTGAATCAAACCGTCACTGACCGTTTATAACAGACTATTCCAGATATGAGTATATGATTGGCAGGGAGGCACTTATAATTAGTAATATGTGGGTGGGGGGTCTTAATCATTGTTTATATTTGTACAGTGACCACAGGAAAAATAATGATGGGTAGTAAAAAATGGTCACAAAAGAGTACCCCCCTGCACTCCCACCCTAAATATCTAATTACGGAATAGCCTTACGGTTAATAACAGGTTGTTCTACCTAGTTAATTAATCACTAAATATTCCAACAGCAAACCGTCAGGTTAAGTACATATTTCTTGATGAAGAGGAGACGTACTGGACATAGTCTCATGTGCAACACCACTTCTAATGTTTCTGACACTTTCTCCAAGTCTGTGATGATGATATGAGATATAATTCTTGCCTCACCTCTGTGTGAGAAGCTAATGGAGCTCTATGTGTATGTACAACAGGTGGAGTTTTATGATCTTGGCTTAGCCTTTGTGAACTGTATCAGATAACGCAGGCAGATTTGTGAGGGGTCTTGAATGACATATTCACTGTTGAAACAACAACGCCAACGTCTTGGTGAATCATTAGGGATGTCTTGTTCCATGCCAAGTGGGATTGTAGGTCCTACAACACAAGGTGTACATTTTCTTAAAAATAAATGAGGGAAAAAACCTGTCTGAAGCATTTTTTTTTAAAATACAAATGGAAAAAAGGTCCCATAAATATCCTACATGTGGCACTCCAGCAAAATGTATGTTAAGGATGAGGTGTTTTGTGCAACATACAAAATAATATTTCAAATTAATGTGCCTTAACAAAAAGGTGATAGTTTCAGAAAAATTAGCAGTTTTACTTCTTAGAGTTGGTAACCTTTGACCCACCCAAAGACCTTAAGACTTAGAAAACAAAATCTTTGCATCTTTTTTCTACAACTCTGAAATGCATATGCCCTAAACTTGACCTACACCCTGAAGACTAAATGGTATGTCTAACATCACACCTTTTGCAATTTTGCTAGAATTACCCTTTGTTATTACGACCACATTAAACATATACTTCATTAATATCTTCCTAATAAGGAGATTTTTTAAAACACAATTTTTTTTTTTTGCAGTTTTGGCCCACAAGTTTTTCATGTTTGATGCTACTTCAGGTATTGATTCTAGTGATCACATATGGTTTGAATTGGCCAAGGTTTCCTGACAATTAGCTGAAAATGTTGACAGCAATATGTTACTATAAGCTTTGGCACAGGTGACCTAAAAAATGCATACATTATTTACATTCAAGCCACTATATATTACACAATGGTTTTAGAAATTGTAAAATTGATGGTCATTAAATAAATATATTGGTTCTGATTAGTACCTAAGTAATTCATTGGTATTAAAAGGAGTATAACATGCATCCAGTTTATGTAAGACAAATTTACCTACCAAACAGATATTCCTATTTCCGTATACCTGTCTATTTACTTGTGGATCATTTACAAATTTACTGAATATTTTATCAGAGGAATCATTATAAGACTTACCATATGGCAAAGCAACGTCATAGACAGGGTTGGGACCTTTACTTCCGATGATATACTTGCTATTGAAATCAGTATCTTTCAGATCTTGGATGGATAGAGGTGTGTAACCATTCTCTTGCACACTGGTGACCTTACCTAGGGCAACCTACAAATCAAGAAGTACACATGTTAACAACCAAGCTACCATGTACTGACATCCTGTTATGCCAGACACAAAAAAGACCAGTTCCCTGTAGTTATAAATGTTAACTAGACTGACTTAGTCTCCTAATCTCTTATTATTGTTGATATTGTAGCTATGCCAGTGTTAAGACAATGTTCTGATGATGATGTTTATATGTTAAATTTGAAACAAATTTCCGGTTCCACATGAAATAATCCATAACTAGGTAGAGGATTTCTGTAATTATTTCTATATGAAAACTTGAAATGGGGAAATCAACTTCCAATTTCATAAATCGAAAGTTCAAAATCCAATTCTTTATTTTTTAATTGACTTTTCACCTGGATGTGTGACTGTAATTTTTGAAGGTCAAACATTTATGGCTTATCATACTTTGACTCTAAAATCTCTCTAAATTTTTATGATTTTCATCTTCTAGTGTTTTTTAAACCTCGACATGTTACCTTGAATTACATGAGGGTTATATGATTTTTACTATTTTCATATAAAAGATCATCAATAAATTTCAAACAGACCCTTGACCTTGAACTTTTGGATGGTCAATATCTACATGTTATCTCCGACATTACTACAGAAAGACAGACAAAATAAGAACATTATGAATAACATCAAAAGGGAAGAAATATCAAAATGGTTTCATGCTAAAGTTTCCACCTAGACATCTCCGTCAATAATTTCAATGTTAAACTTGTAAAATGAGCTATCTCGTGTAAGTCTACCTCTGTGTTTCAACTAGGGCACCCTTGTAAATTATTTGCTATCTGAGCAGTAACGTCTACTTAAATCATAATTCAATTCAGCATTGGGCTTTTTTTCTTTTATTTCATAAACAGGCAAACTATATCAAACTTGGACTTGGTGAAACATCGTTTTGATATGAATTATTTTTTCAAATTATCAGCTTTCATAGACCTATGTTCAATCAAAGGTGAAATCAGTAATAACCTACCTCACATACTAAACAAAGTTTCGTGTCTGATTCAGGATTAGTGTTGTAACAATAGTCTTTGCTCTTGTTGAAAGCATCTGCGAAATACACTCCCTGTAATGAAAAAAAAACAATTTCCTATTTCGACAATTGTTAAACTTTGTATATTTCTACCATTGAATACTAATTCATCTGCTTCTTAATTGAATGACAATGAAAATAGACAGAAAGCCTGGAATTTCTAAATCAAATATAACTCTTCCACTACATCAAACTTTTCTGAAGTGACCATTATACAACTGTAATCTTCTGATACTGTAGGTACATTTTTGTGAAATTTTTTCTGGCAAGCATGGATGACAGTGGTAGTTTACTGGGTATTATTCAATAGAAAATGACTTACCTCCCCAAACAGGTTACCAGTGAATGGGACCTCTGGTGGGGACACCTGGAGTCCCCTATGTAGTATGCTGAGGAAGTTTGCTGTTGAGCTGCCATGGAACAACAGTTTGTGGTTGTCTAGGTTTGTACCAGCTAATCGCTCTTCCTCACCAGGTCTACTCAGCTTGTACACTGCCTGTACTTTAGTCTCACCTGTGATATTGTCAATAGCATTGTTTTTTTATATAAACATATTTTATTGCACATAAGTAGCAATAGGATTGGGCACAAGTTTTACAACTTATATAAAGCCCAAACATATTAATACACACACTTTATATTTACAAGCATACAGTATGATAACAAACAACAATAGCATTGTTCAACATTCCAGTGATCAACAAAACACAGAAAAAAAGGAAAAAAATCATTTAATGGTTGTTATTTTTCTGTTTTCAGTAATGCCATCTACTTTAATTCAGTTGAAAGTGATACATACCACTCCTTCAGTGTTAGTGGTTCATCAATATGTATAGAATTCCATATAAACTTACAGGATCCCAACATATATTTGAGTATGTACTGTGCTTCTGGACTGTCTTCTGTCAGAGGTTCTATATTACATCCAACTGCCTGGTGTATGTAATCCAGTGGATTAACTTCTGTAATAATGAACAAGTGAAATATGTTACTACCTAATTGTCAATGAGAGCTAACAAGTTTGACTATAGCAGACATAATGAGATCTCAAAGATGGTATGGAGAACATAGATTCACCCAATGCCGAAAGTGACATGTGATGAATATATGTATTTCAGCAAATATTTTTACCCCACAATCTAACTACAGTACCAATATTCCTATCTTAGGTAGCCCTGATATTAAACTTTCCTGATACTTACGAGACAATTTTGACTGAGCTGCCAACAGCATTTTACTGGCACATTCCAGGTCCAAGAGATCAGACAGTACCTTCATGTGTTGTTTGAGGGATTGATACTTGTCTATTGGTTGAATTTTCTCAAATGTGAAACCATGATGTGGTATGAGATGATAATATTCATTTGTCAGTTTAGAGATCTGAAATATAACCACAAAACATTTGGAGAAGATTAAGTTTTTGTTTGTATATAATTTTAAATTTACAGTTAACAAGATTTATAGAATCAATTATTTGTATTTACTCTCAGTCAAGATATTCTGTAACAAAATCTCATACAAGGCTAGGCCAAGAATTAGATATTACTAAATGTCAGTCAATGTAGATACTTGATTCTTTTTTACATTCACAAATGTGTTATAAGTGAGTAAAGCTATATCAACCATTTTTCTTTTCAAATTTTTGACTTCACTTTGTATCAAACGCGCTGTAAAGGTACAAGACAAGTTGTAGATTTCACTCATTTCATATATATACCTTTTCACAATTGCTTTGGTATGACTGTGTGTCTTCTGCAGTCATCATTCCTGACTTCAGCTGATCCTGTACTGCTTTGATCAAATCCCTGCATTCATAAACTCATCATTAGCATACAATTTATAATTTCCAATTTCTATTTCAAACCGAACTATGAACATTCATCAGTTTTTATGTAATTCGTTTTTGAAACAGTTGGCTCTTCCACTTAATTGTTTATTACTTAAATCTGATCTATAAAACCAACAGGGTATGACAACATAATGCTCAAGAAAAGTCTTACCCAAGTTGTGTTAATAATTTTCTGCCTTCTATGAGAGCTTCTCGTTTTATTTTGCCAAATGGCATGTAATCAGAGTAGATACCAGTCTTGTTCACAGCTGCCAACATCATGTTAACACTGGTCTGTGGAGAAAGCAATGTCTGAATATAATGACAACAATGACATATTAATCAAGACCTAAGTTACTTTGTGTTATTCAGTATAAATTATACAGAAGGAACCTACATATTTCTAAGGAATTAGGACTACATTATTGTTCTTTGAAATGTCTTATTTCCTTTATTTTCATTTATCAAAAGTGTATCACTAAGGTCTTTACTAATTCATAATTGTTACAGACATAGGCTCCCTTGTTAGAACAATCTAATTTTAACTACATAATTTACTTAAATAATGGTTTATTTCATGAGCAATACTTCTCTTCACGCTACTCATACAAGTACATGTTAATGATGTTTAGTTATGTTTTTCAGCAACTTGTTAAATGAAAATAATCGATGATCACATTTGTGTATATCTCACAGTGGGCTATTAAATTGATAAAGAAGATTTATGTCAATAAAATATAAGTTTGTTCAAATTATCAAAGGATTGACACTCAAAATAAGATAACAATCAGAAAAACAGATACTGACTGGGCACGTTCATCCTTATCACTTACCATTTCCTTAAACAGCTGTTGAACTGGTTCAGGTAGCTTGGAGGGAATGTCTGATTTGAGACTGAAGTCAATCTTGCGTTCTTTCTGTCTCTTGTCATCCCGCTGGACAAGTCTGTATTTCTTTGGATGATTTTCAAACCTACATGGTCAAATGATCATCATTCAGGTAGATATCAGAGAAACCATCCAGTATATAATCATAATACAAAGTATACAGCTACCTCCTCTCCATGGAGACTTGAGTCTGTCAAGCTAAATAGCAGTACAAATCAAGCCAGCATCATCATAACTCTATGAAAAACCACTTCGCTATACACAATCTAGTTTATTCAGTAATTCATGGAGATCAACAAAACATCAATTCTAACAGCTAAGTTAAATCACAGAGATTTCCCATTAAACTACAGCATATCATGATCAACATGAAGTTCACAATCCCACAGCATTGATGGGCGTGTCATATTTTAATAACTGATAACACAGTATTGATGGGCATGTCATGTTTTAATAACTGATAACACAGCATTGATTGGCGTGTCATGTTTTAATAACTGATAACACAGCATTGCTGGGTGTGTCATGTTTTAATAACTGATAACACAGCATTGATGGGCGTGTCATGTTTTAATAACTGATAACACAGTAATTGGTAGATGGCTAACATGTATGTGACAGGACTATCATTTTGAAGTTACACAAAAATTGGTAAAACCAGACATATACTTACGAGTTGATATTTGACCAAGAATTTCCAGTTTTGGATCTGAAGATTTTTCCAAACTCTGCTATAGCTTCAGCTTTCTTCTGGAATGGTGTGTGCTGGAACTGACCCTGGGATCCTATCCTTCCCCACCTGGTGAATAGCACATAGACATCCACACCCTTCTGCCAGACAATCTAAAGTTGAAGCAATGTGTATGCCATGAATACAATTATACACATTTACCAACCACTTTTACAAGACTAGTATGTAAATAAATATCAATTTGGATGTTGTCATCTCTCCTCTCCCTATGTTTACTAATTGTTTTCCTATCTTTCTTCAGAATTTCAGTTGTGTAAAAAGAAGGTATCAATATTAAAAACAGTACACAATTCAACTATTCATTGCACATTTAAGATTGGAAATTGCTATCAATGTAATAATCACTGCAAAGATGTTCAATTAAAAGCTTATTATGGGCAACTGGTTACGCAAAGAATTCACTCTAACATACTCTTGTCATAAAGAAAACATACAGAATGATTTACAATATACAAAGGTGTGCTCCCAATTAAAGGATTACTATGCAATCCCCAAACGCATGATCAGCAAATTTCTACGTCCAACATGACTTTTACAAGCATAACTTAACTTTATATTTTAGAATTATTACAAAATATAACTTTCTCACCTGCATCTTGTAAAAGTTGTACATGCCCCAGGTTCCACAGGATACATCCACCTTAGACAACAGAACATCATAGGGGATCCCTTGGGAGTCATCCATGGTTAATTCTCTGCAATTACCATTCCATTACAGTAACATTTTCACAAGTAACTAGTTTTTCTGACTCATTCATACTGATTAGATGTTACTTCTCACAATTCTAAATTCAGTTCATCAAATGACCATTAACAGCAACCAATGGGAAGAGATTTAAGAAATCATGACCATTAACTAAGAGAAGGAGATTGATTATCAACCAATGGGAAGAGATTTAAGAAATCATGACCATTAACTAACTAAGGGGGATTAAAACCAGTAACTATGGGGAGACTTTAACAAAGATTACAGCTGTTAACCAAGGATTATTTTTAATGAAGGAATATGACCACTGACTAAATGCTGCTTGAATGTTATACACTCTGAATCAATTTGAAGAGTGCTTGTGAATATTAAACAAGTCTTCTGAAATGATAGCCACTTTCATACCTCTATACCTACCCAATATCTTTCATCTGACAATTAGGGTCTGGTTTTGCAATAAAATCGTTGTCATCATTCTCAGAGTCATCATCAATGTCATCTCCTTTGACTTTGGACACCTCCATTGACTGAGAAGCCTGGCTGTCCAGAATTTTGAGCATTTCTTCAGCATCTGTCTGATAATTAACTGTCGATCCCCCTGATAATAGACTATCTTTGACTTCTTGTGTCACTAACGTAGGCTTCTCCTGCAATTATTCGTTTCATTTCAATCAGCACTGTTTCACTTTTTGTTACAAACTTTTTTGAGGAGATACTGAGATTGAAAAACCTAATAACAAAAGCTATTTTTGAAATTTATCCAACACTTATCTTCCATTATCACCACTGAAATAGGAAGCACAGCCATCATATTGGACTTATTTGATTTGGAGGTTATATAAGTTATATAATCGTATTTTATTACATATAAGAACTTTTAATCAGCAAGTACAACCTTCAAATTTGACCACTTGTAATCGGCCTATCTGATGTAACTATTTCTCTTTCTATGTGACCATTTTGAAACTTAACTTTTAATCCATCAAGTTTCTAATGCTACCAAACTACTGTTTTCAGACCTTGACCCTACTGTTAAGTAAATACATGTGATGGAAGTTAAGACATCCCAAATAAGGTAAAATGTTGGCCTATTGTTTGCTATCCTCTTGTAACACAGTATCAGATCTTGCCTTAGCATTTGTATTGTAACCACTAATCTTTATAAATCAACAAAACTATTTGACAAAAAAGCATGTTCCATGGTATGAATAGGTATTTGGTGAGGTAAGCGTCTTGCTACCTCATGTAATTTATCTGTAATGAACAAGTGTGATGAACGACTATATATTCATAACAATTACTATTAATGACTCAAGTGTTAGGACAGATTGTCATTTCCTTAACTGGATCGATTTAACCTGTGTCAAACTTACCATCTTGCTTTCCTCCACACCAGCTATCATCTGCAGCCGTTTAGAAAGTTTAGAAGCACTATGTATTAATGAATGTTGGAGAGGGGATAGCCCTGCATTGTCCTTTTTTAACACATCAGCACCAGCCTTCCACAACACATACAGAATCTCCTCCGCATCATAAGTACCATAGTCCAATGGGCACACAAGATGATGGATCACAGTCCATCCCTGACAGTCTGTTGCATTTAGATCTACAGGACTAGTCTTTTCTACTGTGGGGAATTCCTCTGTAAACATATATCTACAGTGATAATACTGTTAAGAAATTTTTAAACAAAATGCCAACAACAGCATATAATCCTTTTTTTTTTGGCATTTTTGCTATTTTATGGTACATTAATTTAACTGTGAAAATGAAGTCCATAATACAATGTGACCTGTGTATTTGATGTTTTTTTACATCCAAAGTATGAAATTTTTATTTGTTAAAATATAATTCAAACATTTTGTAAGAAAATCCCAAAATTTGACCTGCAAAAATTACCAGCTATGAGACAAAATCTATCAAACAGCCAATCCTGGCCAAGGATTGAAAAACTTAACCATAATTTATGTAGATGGTCATGTTGATAACTAGAAAACTGAACCATCAATTCTGTGAAAGAGAGCTCAAACTTTTGAATTTTCATTTAGACTTATCAATATCATTTTTAATTAGACATTTCATAAAAATGAGCAATATACCTTTGTTAACACTGCTGCCTTGACTAAGAAGAGAGACCTTTTTCGATCCCATGCGCGTAAGTGAAGGAAGTTTTTCTGGGGCATCATCCTCGTCTGAATCCACTATATCTGTGTCATGGTCATCATCGTCATCATCTTGATCATTATTATCTTCCTCTTCATGATCCCCTTCATCATCTGTACAAAAAGGATAACTTTATATGAAAGACTTCTTTAAACAAAGAGATTCCAGAGGGATCTTGGCGCCCATCATTTGAGGATCTGTTTTCAGTTCTTGAAGATTTGTTTATTTTTTGTTTGTTTGTTACAGGTGTTGTAAATGTTCATGAACTGGTCTTCATTGAATGTACTCAATGATGGCACAAGATATTTTTATTAAGCACCTATTAGCAAATATCGTTTAAAAAAGATCCCAAAGTATTATTAGATAGCAGTCAGTTACAGATGGATAATGGACAATATGCTTGTGCTGTATTACTGTCGACATCCAAGATGGCTGCCTGTGGGCCACCTTGATTTCAAATCAGTCCAAAAAAGGTACAACGCACAACTAGGGACCAAGGGAAACCAATATCGATGAAATGTCAGAAGGATAGATCCAGTACTTCCTCAGATATAGCAGTAACAAGATTTTACTCTCAAAATCCAAGATGGTTGCCTGTCAGCCATCTTGATTTCGGATCAGTCCAAAAAGGTATAATGCACAACTAGGGACCAAGGGGAAACTGCATATGGAATTTGAGAAACATCCATCCAGTACTTTCCAAGAAATAGCAGTAACAAACTTTTACATTCAAAAACCAAGATGGCCACCTGTCGGCCATCTTGAATTCGAATCAGTCAAAAAAGGTACAATGCACAACTAGGGACCAAGGGGAAACTGCATATGGAATTTGAGAAACATCCATCCAGTACTTTTCCAGAAATAGCGGTAACAAACTTTTATTTCCAAAATCCAAGATGGCCACCTGTCGGCCATCTTGAATGCGAATCAGTTCAAAAAAGGTACAATGCACAACTAGGGACCAAGGGGAACCTGCATATGAAATTTGAGAAAGATCCATCCAGTACTTTTCCAGAAATAGCGGTAACAAGAATTGTTTACAGACGGACGGACCACGGACGGCAGGGCGATTTAAATACCCCACCATCTGATGATGGTGGGCTAAAAAGTGGGCATATCAATAACATGACTGAGAAACTTTCTTTATATTGAAAAATATCCCATAACTAAAATACAGTTCCAAATGGGTTTGAATTGTTTCAAAGTCCTAAATCATCTGTCAACAAATATTTCCAGACCTGACAAAAAGGATGCTCATACAGTATTTGAAGGCTATTGTCCTACTGCTCCTACCTCCATCCTGCTCTTCCTCATTAACCTCATCTTCACCTTCATCTTCTCCATCTTGGTCCTCCTCCTCTTCCTCATCCCCCTGGTCCTCCTCCTCAGCCACACTGGTTAGAGAACTGAAGGGTTTGATTGTGAACACCTGTCTAGAAGCTTTCCTCACCAGAGCAGGTTTTTTGCTAGGAGTGTCACAAGACTCAAAGGAGTAATTGAGTAATAATTTGACCAAGGAAAGATCATTCTGCAAGTAAAAATTTTATAACTTAATAATTTCATGTCAGTTGGAACATATAAGATTTTTTTGTTAAGCCCAAAGACAAAAGCAAGTTACTAAATCATAATTTGGCCATGTAAAGATCCTTTTAAATAATTAAGATTTCATATAATTATGAACAAGTGCAAGTCTTTACAGACCCCTATGATCATGCATACTAAATGACAATAACTGTCACAGAAGCCGGTTTCTTATCAAATCATAATGTCAGGTTTGTTTTGAAAAAGTGCTAATCTGAAGCTTGAGGTACCCCTTTATTTCAATTACATGCCTGTGACATCGACCAACAAATTCCAAATGTTGAAGTATGCTAAACACAGCTCAGCACATAAAGTATAAAGGGGACTAAAATAAGTTCACATCTGAAATGTGTATGTTTTAATATGACAGTATTACTGACACTATTCTGGGGTTTGTCATGAAATATTCAAGCCTGGCACTACAATGTAATTAACAAGAGGCCCATGGGCCTTAACGGTCATCTGACAAAAAGCAAGCCAAACCTAGAAAGTGGGTTGAGGTCATTCATTTGAACAAACTTGGTAGCCTCTCCTCCAAGCATCTTACAGGCCCAATATCAGCACTCATGGACTTTTGCTTGTTGAGAAGAAGTCGTTTGTATATTTTAACATATTTGACCCCTGTGACCTTGAAAGTGGGTTGAGGTCATTCATTTGAATAAACTTGGTAGCCTTTCCTCCCAGCATGCTACAGACCCAATATCGGCACTCATAGACTTTTGCTTATTGAGATGAAGTCCTTTGTATATTTTAACATATTTGACCCCTGTGACCTTGAAAGTGGGCCAAGGTCATTCATTTGAACAAACTTTGTAGGGCTCCATGCCAGCATGCTATGGGCCAAGTATTAGCCCCCTAGGCCTTCTAGTATTTGAGAAGAAGTTATTTAAAGATTTTGACATATTTGACCCCTGCGACCTTGAAAGTTGTTCAAGGTCATTCATTTAAATAAACTTGGTAGCCTTTCCTCCCAGCATGCTACAGACCCAATATCGGCACTCATAGACTTTTGCTTATTGAGATGAAGTCCTTTGTATATTTTAACATATTTGACCCCTGTGACCTTGAAAGTTGTTCAAGGTCATTCATTTAAACAAACTTGATAGCCCTTCATCCCAGCATGCCACAGGCACAATATCAGCAATCTGAGCCTTTTGGTTATTGAGAAGAAGTCGTTTGTATATTTTAACATATTTGACCCCTGTGACCTTTAAAGTGGGTCAAGGTCATTCATTTGAATAAACTTGGTAGTCCTTCATCCCAGCATGCTACAGGCCTTATTTTAGTTGCCTGGGCCTTTTGATTACTGAGAAGAAGTCCTTTGAAGATTTAAAGACATTTGACCCCTGTGACCTTGAATGAAGGTCAAGGTCATTCATTTGAACAAACTTGGTAGGGTTTCATCAAAGCAAGCTACAGGCTAAATATTAGTTGCCTGGGCCCTCCAGTTATTGAGAAGAAGTCGTTTGAAGATTTTAAGACATTTGACCCCTGTGACCTTGAATGAAGGTCAAGGTCATTCTTTTTAACAAACTTCGTAGGGCTTCATCAAAGCAAGCTACAGGCCAAATATTAGTTGCCTGGTCCTTCCAATTATTGAGAAGTCGTTTGAATGAAAAGTTTACGGACGGCGCACGGCGGACGGCGCACGGCGGACGATGACGGACGAAGCATGATGACTATAGGTCATCGGACCCTTCGGGTCAGATGACCTAAAAATGTCAATTACTTCAAAGAAGTTTTTACATTTCAGTATAAGTCTTACTGATCTCCAAAGGTTTCTCAATTCCACATAACAAATAAATGTTCTACTATGTAGCTTACCGACTTTACAGCATGCATAAGAGGAGTTACACCCTGACTATCAGGAAAATTGGGTGATGCACCCTGATCAAGAAGAAATTTGGCTGTCCCAAAATCAGCAAAGTGGATGCAAAAAATGACTGGCGATATTCTTCTCTCGCTGGCAGAGGTAAGATAGTCTGGATTTACATTCTGCACAACATCAAATGTAGGCACATCTGACAAAGGGTAGTCATACAGAAAGTTGAAATTACCACCCTTTGACAAGAACATCTTCAACCATTTTCTGAAAAGAAAACAGCGATACAAAATATCAACATCCACATGATAACAAAAATAACTTTATCTGTTAAGCAATGAATTCATTCCAAAAATGTCATTAATATTGAGTCACAACAAAAAGTACACTAAAAAGATGTAAAATCAAAATCAAAAACAGATTTCCAAAATGTCTAAAAGAGGATATCTCAGATTCCAGATAAATTCTGGAAAAAAATAAGAAAAAGAATTCACAGACGAATTTGGTCTCTTATTTTTTTATGTTTTTTGAATGGAAGGCAATAAGTTTGTCTTAACACTCTATCAATGGCCTGGGCCAAGGTCATTTTGAGGTGGGATCTCCATGTGCTAGCTGGTGGTTACCTCACTGAACAACATGTAGAGGTCTGTCACATGATCCCGAAAAAATGGGTAGATTTACTTGCTCATGAAATTAACTACTACAGCTTAGGATGTTTACTTTCTAAACTTCTTTAGAAACACAAACCCCAATCCTCACCTGAGATAGCAAAGTCTGACATTCTACCAACTACGACATTGTAGCCCCAATTAGGTGTTTTGAGGATGTTTGCCACAGCATTACAAACAAGAGATCCCAGAGGGATCTTGGCGCCCACCATTTGAGGATCTGTTTTCAGTTCTTGAAGACTTGTTTATTTTTTTTTTGTTTGTTACAGGTGTTGTAAATGTTCATGAACTGGTCTTCATTGAATGTACTCAATGATGGCACAAGATATTTTTATTAAGCACCTATTAGCAAATTTCATTTGAAAAAGATCCCAAAGTATTATTAGATAGCAGTCAGTTACAGGTGGATAATGGACAATATGCTTGTGCTGTATTACTGTCGACATCCAAGATGGCTGCCTGTCAGCCATCTTGATTTCGGATCAGTCCAAAAAGGTATAATGCACAACTTGGAACCAAAGGGAACCTGCAGATGAAATTTGAGAAACATCCATCCAGTACTTTCCAAGAAATAGCAGTAACAAACTTTTACATTCAAAATCCAAGATGGCCACCTGTCTGCCATCTTGAATTCGAATCAGTCCAAAAAAGGTACAATGCACAACTAGGGACCAAGGGGAAACTGCATATGAAATTTGAGAAAGATCCATCCAGTACTTTCCAAGAAATAGCAGTAACAAACTTTTACTTCCAAAATCCAAGATGGCTGCCTGTCGGCCATCTTGAATTTGAATCAGTCCAAAAAAGGTACAATGCACAACTAGGGACAGAGAGGAACCTGCATATGAAATTTGAGAAAGATCCATCCAGTACTTTCCAAGAAATAGCAGTAACAAACTTTTACATTCAAAATCCAAGATGGCCACCTGTCGGCCATCTTGAATGCAAATCAGTCCAAAAAAGGTACAATGCACAACTAGGGACCAAAGAGAAACTGCATATGAAATTTGAGAAAGATCCATCCAGTACTTTTCCAGAAATAGCGGTAACAAACTTTTACTTCCAAAATCCAAGATGGCCACCTGTCGGCCATCTTGAATGCGAATCAGTTCAAAAAAGGTACAATGCACAACTAGGGACCAAGGGGAACCTGCATATGAAATTTGAGAAAGATCCATCCAGTACTTTTCCAGAAATAGCGATAACAAGAATTGTTTACGGACGGACGGACGGACCACGGACCACGGACGCAAGGCGATTTGAATAACCCACCATCTATTAGATGGTGGGCTAACAAAAAGACTATGGAGTCTTTGAAATATGTAAACTGGCATCAATTTTTTTTCTAATACAAGGAAACCTGCTTAACATCATGTTCCATTTATCAGGAGGAAATGTGAAAATAAGTGGAATGTGACGTTAACAGCCGACATATTTTTTCTGGAGTCTAAACCCGCAAGTTGATTTTCAGATGTGTCAAACTGACTTGTTAATAAAAGAAATTGTTTGAAGACAATAAATTGTAATTTGATATTTTTCCCATAAGAACAGTGACTTTCCTTCACTTTTGTTTATTCTTTGAAATATCTAAAATGCTATCATAAATTATCCTGGACGATCAACACAATTCATGTCATATTTAGTTTACACATGGTCAGATTCGTATGTGACACTACGTATCATCAGCTGATGTTTTATTGTATAATTCATTCATCATTTACTGTATAGGCTTCATAATGGTGCATCATCGCAAGGATGATATATATCATCAGTGTATATCGCTGCATCTTCAATAAAATGTGTTCTGAAGATCGCAACTCGGGCAAGGCCAACATACATAGCCCACAGAGTGTGCTCTGTTCTCCTTTGAAACGCCATGTTTCATTGGCCGTTAAATTAGTCGTTATTCTTAATTGCTAATCAGATGTTGAGAAACACAGCATAGGGAAAATATAGCGATTTTATTGTCACCTAACCAGTGTTCACAATATTTTAAGGAATAGATGATTTTAAGAAATATTAAAACATTGACATTCTAATATTATGACCAATTGGGTTTCTAATCTTCATTTCATATGATATGTTTTTTACCCTGAATGAATCATCGGAGAAAAATGATTACCAGGTTTTGGTGTCCCAAGGGTCATTGTAAGAAGAAACAAAATACAATTATCATATATAACCATTCATGGTTGATTATTTTCTGAAATATTTTCTGAAATGTCTTTTGCAAAATAACCTTTTTCGTTTTGAAATTGAACTCGGTATGCATACTAAAGACTTATTTTTCAAGAAGTGACGACAGCACATCAGACACCTTAGCGGCATGGCAGCCACTACAACATTGGATGCATGAAGTGTTCAAAGTGACAAGGTAAGTGGGTTAATCTTATTGTTCAGGATTCGCAAGGGTGAAAAGTTAGCCAGTAGGGCAGTGACAATATTTACATATGGCCTCCAGGTGTGAAGAATGACCCTTCAGGGCTCACTTACCTGTGCTTTTTCTGTGATAGTCGGCAAAATGAAATGATATTAAGTGTTGCCCATAAAAAAAGTGTTTCAAGAAAATGTGTTAGTCAGAAAGTGACATTAACAGATGTGACATTAAGTGGGTTCCAATGTATCAATATTTCTAATGGTTATTAAGAACTGTGCTTACGTGCTCTCTTCAGTAGATATAATAATGTCATGCTGATTCCAGAAGAAAGCTGCCAACACTGATCGTCCAAACTTGTCTTTCTTGCTGAGATCTAATGTCTTGTCTTGCTCTGTTAAAGCAGATTTTCATCAAATTTATTATAACTAGGTGTGTCGTAGTAATACAAATGTGCCCACTGGTAACCATTGAGAAGTATGTAAAATTTTTAAACTGATTTTTCTTTCTTAAGAAGTGTACCCAGACCATACAACAATACAAACACATAAATGATCCCTGAAGAATTCTTTAAAGTGCTAATTAGAAATTCTCTCCTTCAAATTCATTAAGCCATCAGTATCAATTTTAACAAAATGGATTTGAGCAAAATCTCGTCCACAAGTTAAATTGCTGTTACTCTTCCTAGTAGATCCTACTGTAAGTCTTTCTTGTAGACAGTAACATTACTGTAAGTCTGTGTTGTAGGCAAGTAACATTACTGTAAGTCTTTCTTGTAGACAGTAACATGACTGTAAGTCTTTCTTGTAGACAGTAACATGACTGTAAGTCTTTCTTGTAGGCGAATAACATTACTGTAAGCCTTTCTTGTAGGCAAGTAACATTACTGTAAGTCTTTCTTGTAGGCAAGTAACATTACTGTAAGACTGTGTTGTAGACAAATAACATTACTGTAAGTCTTTCTTGTAGGCAAGTAACATTACTGTAAGTCTGTCTTGTAGGCAAGTAACATTACTGTAAGTCTGTCTTGTAGGTGAGTAACATTACTGTAAGCCTTTCTTGTAGGCAAGTAACATTACTGTAAGTCTTTCTTGTAGGCAAGTAACATTACTGTAAGTCTGTCTTGTAGGCAAGTAACATTACTGTAAGACTGTCTTGTAGGCAAGTAACATTACTGTAAGTCTTTTAGGCAAGTCATATGTAAGGCTGTCTTGTAGGCAAGTAACATTACTGTAAGCCTTTCTTGTAGGCAAGTAATATTACTGTAAGTCTGTCTTGTAGGCAAGTAACATTACTGTAAGACTGTCTTGTAGGCAAGTAACATTACTGTAAGTCTGTCTTGTAGGCAAGTAACATTACTGTAAGTCTGTCTTGTAGGCAAGTAACATTACTGTAAGTCTGTCTTGTAGGCAAGTAACATTACTGTAAGTCTGTCTTGTAGGCAAGTAACATTACTGTAAGTCTTTCTTGTAGACAGTAACATGACTGTAAGACTGTCTTGTAGGCAAGTAACATTACTGTAAGTCTGTCTTGTAGGCAAGTAACATTACTGTAAGCCTTTCTTGTAGGCAAGTAACATTACTGTAAGCCTTTCTTGTAGGCAAGTAACATTACTGTAAGTCTGTCTTGTAGGCAAGTAACATTACTGTAAGCCTTTCTTGTAGGCAAGTAACATTACTGTAAGTCTTTCTTGTAGGCAAGTAACATTACTGTAAGTCTGTCTTGTAGACAAGTAACATTACTGTAAGTCTGTCTTGTACTGTAAGTCTGTGTTGTAGGCAAGTAACATTACTGTAAGTCTTTCTTGTAGGCAAGTAACATTACTGTAAGTCTGTCTTGTAGGCAAGTAACATTACTGTAAGTCTGTCTTGTAGGCAAGTAACATTACTGTAAGTCTTCTCTTGTAGGCAAGTAACATTACTGTAAGTCTTTCTTGTAGACAGTAACATTACTGTAAGTCTTTCTTGTAGGCAAGTTGTTCTGTCTTGTAGGCAAGTAACATTACTGTAAGTCTTTCTTGTAGGCAAGTAACATTACTGTAAGTCTTTCTTGTAGACAGTAACATTACTGTAAGTCTTTCATGCAGGAGAGTAACATTACTGTAAGTCTGTGTTGTAGGCAAGTAACATGACTGTACATCTGTCTTGTAGGCAAGTAATATTACTGTAAGTCTGTGTTGTAGGCAAATAACATGACTGTAAGTCTTTCTTGCAGGCAAGTAACATTACTGTAAGTCTGTCTTGTAGGCGAGTAACATTACTGTAAGTCTTTCTTGTAGGCAAGTAACATTACTGTAAGTCTGTCTTGTAGGCATTTATGATTTCTGTATTGAGGTCTTGTAGGCAAGTAACATTACTGTAAGTCTGTCTTGTAGGCAAGTAACATTACTGTAAAACTGTCTTGTAGGCAAGTAACATTACTGTAAGTCTTTTCATGTAGGCAAGTAACATTACTGTAAGTCTGCCTTGTAGGCAAGTAACATTACTGTAAGTCTTTCATGCATACAAGTAACATTACTGCAAGTCTGTCCTGTAGGCAAGTAACATGACTGTACATCTGTCTTGTAGGCAAGTAACATTACTGTAAGCCTTTCTTGTAGGTGAATAACATTACTGTAAGCCTTTCTTGTAGGCAAGTAACATTACTGTAAGTCTGTCTTGTAGGCAAGTAACATTACTGTAAGTCTTTCTTGTAGGCAAGTAACATTACTGTAAGACTGTCTTGTAGGTAAGTAACATTATTGTAAGTCTTTCTTGTAGGCAAGTAACATTACTGTAAGTCTTTCTTGTAGGCAAGTAACAATACTGTGAGTCTTCTCTTGTAGGCAAGTAACATTACTGTAAGTCTTTCTGGTAGACAGTAACATTACTGTAAGTCTTTCTTGTAGGCAAGTAACATTACTGTAAATCTTTCTTGCAGGCGAGTAACATTACTGTAAGTCTGTGTTGTAGGCAAGTAACATTACTGTAAGTCTTTCTGTAGGCAAGTCATTACTGTAAGTCTGTCTTGTAGGCAAGTAACATTACTGTAAGTCTGTCTTGTAGGCAAGTAAACAAGTAATTACTGTAAGTCTGTCTTGTAGGCAAGTAACATTACTGTAAGTCTGTCTTGTAGGCAAGTAACATTACTGTAAGTCTGTCTTGTAGGCAAGTAACATTACTGTAAGTCTGTCTTGTAGGCAAGTAACATTACTGTAAGTCTTCTCTTGTAGGCAAGTAATATTACTGTAAGTCTGTCTTGTAGGCAAGTAACATGACTGTACATCTGTCTTGTAGGCAAGTAACATTACTGCAAGTCTGTCATGTAGGCAAGTAACATTACTGTAAGCCTTTCTTGTATGCAAGTAACATTACTGTAAGTCTTTCATGCATATAAGTAACATTACTGCAAGTCTGTCCTGTAGGCAAGTAACATGACTGTACATCTGTCTTGTAGGCAAGTAACATTACTGTAAGTCTTTCTTGTAGGCAAGTAACATTACTGTAAGTCTTTCTTGTAGACAGTAACATTACTGTAAGTCTTTCATGCAGGAACATTACTGTAAGTCTGTCTTGTAGGCAAGTAACATCACTGTAAGTATGTCTTGTAGGCAAGTAACATTACTGTAAGTCTGTCTTGTAACATCACTGTAAGTCTGTCTTGTGGGCAAGTAACATTACTGTAAGTCTTTCTTGTAGGCGAGTAACATTACTGTAAGACTGTCTTGTAGGCAAGTAACATTACTGTAAGTCTTTCTTGTAGGCAAGTAACATTACTGTAAGTCTTTCTTGTAGGCAAGTAACATTACTGTAAGTCTTTCTGGTAGACAGTAACATTACTGCATGTCTTTCATGCAGGAGAGTAACATTTTTGTAAGTCTGTGTTGTAGGCAAGTAACAATACTGTAAGTCTGTCTTGTAGGCAAATAACATTACTGTAAGTCTTTCTTGTAGGCAAGTAACATTACTGTAAGTCTGTCTTGTAGGCAAGTAATATTACTGTCAGACTGTCTTGTAGGCAAGTAACATTACTGTAAGTCTTTCATGCATACAAGTAACATTACTGCAAGTCTGTCATGTAGGCAAGTAACATTACTGTAAGCCTTTCTTGTATGCAAGTAACATTACTGTAAGCCTTTCTTGTAGGCAAGTAACATTACTGTAAATCTGTCTTGTAGGCAAGTAACATTAATGTAAGGCTGTCTTGTAGGCAAGTAACATTACTGTAAGCCTTTCTTGTAGGCAAGTAATATTACTGTAAGTCTGTCTTGTAGGCAAGTAACATTACTGTAAGTCTGTCTTGTAGGCAAGTAACATTACTGTAAGTCTGTCTTGTAGGCAAGTAACATTACTGTAAGTCTGTCTTGTAGGCAAGTAACATTACTGTAAGTCTTTCTTGCAGGCAAGTAACATTACTGTAAGTCTGTGTTGTAGGCAAGTAACAATACTGTAAGTCTGTCTTGTAGGCAAATAACATTACTGTAAGGCTTTCTTGTAGACAGTAACATTACTGTAAGTCTTTCATGCAGGAGAGTAACATTACTGTAAGTCTGTGTTGTAGGCAAGTAACAATACTGTAAGCCTTTCTTGTAGGTGAATAACATTACTGTAAGCCTTTCTTGTAGGCAAGTAACATTACTGTAAATCTGTCTTGTAGGCAAGTAACATTAATGTAAGGCTGTCTTGTAGGCAAGTAACATTACTGTAAGTCTGTCTTGTAGGTGAGTAACATTACTGTAAGCCTTTCTTGCAGGCGAGTAACATTACTGTAAGTCTGTCATGTAGGCAAGTAACATTACTGTAAGTCTTCTCTTGCAGGCAAGTAATATTACTGTAAGTCTGTCTTGTAGGCAAGTAACATTACTGTAAGTCTTTCTTGTAGGCAAGTAACATTACTGTAAGTCTGTCTTGTAGGCAAGTAACATTACTGTAAGTCTGTCTTGTAGGCAAGAAACATTACTGTAAGCCTTTCTTGTACGAAAGTAACATTACTGTAAGTCTGTCTTGTAAATATTTCCTGTAGGCAAGTAACATTACTGTACATCTGTCTTGTAGATAGCAATATTACTGTAAGTCTTTCTTGTAGGCGAATAACATTACTGTAAGCCTTTCTTGTAGGCAAGTAACATTACTGTAAGTCTGTCTTGTAGGCAAGAAACATTACTGTAGGCAAGTACTGTAAGTCTTGTAGGCAAGTCATTACTGTAAGGCAAGTAACATTACTGTAAGTCTTTCTTGTAGGCAAGTAACATTAATGTAAGTCTGTCTTGTAGGCAAGTAACATTACTGTAAGTCTTTCTTGTAGGCAAGTACATTACTGTAAGTCTGTCATTACTGTAAGTCTGTCTTGTAGGCAAGTAACATTACTGTAAGTCTGTCTTGTAGGCAAGTAACATTACTGTAAGTCTGTCTTGTAGGCAAGTAACATTACTGTAAGTCTGTCTTGTAGGCAAGTAACATTACTGTAAATCTGTCTTGCAGGCAAGTAACATTACTGTAAGTCTGTCTTGTAGGCAAGTAATATTACTGTCAGACTGTCTTGTAGGCAAGTAACATTACTGTAAGTCTTTCTTGCAGGCAAGTAACATTACTGTAAGTCTGTCTTGTAGGCAAGTAACATTACTGTAAGTCTTTCTTGTAGGCAAGTAACATTACTGTAAGTCTTTCTTGTAGGCAAGTAACATTACTGTAAGTCTGTCTTGTAGGCAAGTAACATTACTGTAAGTCTGTCTTGTAGGCAAGTAACATTAATGTAAGGCTGTCTTGTAGGCAAGTAACATTACTGTAAGCCTTTCTTGTAGGCAAGTAACATTAAGTCTTTCTTGCAGGCAAGTAACATTACTGTAAGTCTGTCTTGTAGGCAAGTAACATTACTGTAAGACTGTCTTGTAGGCAAGTAACATTACTGTAAGTCTGTCTTGTAGGCAAGTAACATTACTGTAAGTCTTTCTGGTAGACAGTAACATTATTGTAAATCTTTCTTGCAGGCGAGTAACATTACTGTAAGTCTGTGTTGTAGGCAAGTAACATTACTGTAAGTCTGTGTTGTAAGCAAGTAACATTACTGTAAGTCTGTCTTGTAGGTAAGTAACATTATTGTAAGTCTTTCTTGTAGGCAAGTAACATTACTGTAAGTCTTTCTTGTAGGCAAGTAACATTACTGTAAGTCTGTCTTGTAGGCAAGTAACATTACTGTAAGTCTGTCTTGTAGGCAAGTAACATTACTGTAAGTCTGTCTTGTAGGCAAGTAACATTACTGTAAAACTGTCTTGTAGGCAAGTAACATTACTGTAAGTCTTTCATGCAGGCAAGAAACATTACTGTAAGCCTTTCTTGTAGCCAAGTAACATTATTGTAAGTCTTTCTTGTAGGCAAGTAACATTACTGTAAGACTGTCTTGTAGGCAAGTAACATTACTGTAAGTCTGTCTTGTAGGCAAGTAACATTACTGTAAAACTGTCTTGTAGGCAAGTAACATTACTGTAAGTCTGTCTTGTAGGCAAGTAACATTACTGTAAAACTGTCTTGTAGGCAAGTAACATTACTGTAAGTCTTTCTTGTAGGCAAGTAACATTACTGTAAGACTGTGTTGTAGGCAAGTAACATTACTGTAAGACTGTGTTGTAGGCAAGTAACATTAAGTCTGTCTTGTAGGTAAGTAACATTACTGTAAGTCTTTCTTGTAGGCAAGTAACATTACTGTAAGTCTTCTCTTGTAGGCAAGTAATATTACTGTAAGTCTGTCTTGTAGACAGTAACATTATTGTAAATCTTTCTTGCAGGCGAGTAACATTACTGTAAGTCTGTCTTGTAGGCAAGTAACATTACTGTAAGTCTTTCTGGTAGACAGTAACATTACTGTAAGTCTTTCTTGTAGGCAAGTAACATTACTGTAAGTCTGTCTTGTAGGCAAGTAACATTACTGTAAGTCTGTCTTGTAGGCAAGTAACATTACTGTAAGTCTGTCTTGTAGGCAAGTAACATTACTGTAAGTCTTTCTTGTAGGCAAGTAACATTACTGTAAGTCTGTCTTGTAGGCAAGTAACATTACTGTAAGTCTGTCTTGTAGGCAAGTAACATTACTGTAAGTCTTTCTTGTAGGCAAGTAACATTACTGTAAGACTGTGTTGTAGGCAAGTAACATTACTGTAAGACTGTGTTGTAGGCAAGCAACATTACTGTAAGTCTGTGTTGTAGGCAAATAATATTACTGTAAGTCTTTCTTGCAGGCAAGTAACATTACTGTAAGTCTGTCTTGTAGGCAAGTAATATTACTGTCAGACTGTCTTGTAGGCAAGTAACATTACTGTAAATCTGTCTTGCAGGCAAGTAACATTACTGTAAGTCTGTCTTGTAGGCAAGTAACATCACTGTAAGTATGTCTTGTAGGCAAGTAACATTACTGTAAGTCTGTCTTGTAGGCAAGTAACATTACTGTAAGTCTGTCATGTAGGCAAGTAACATGACTGTAAGTCTGTCTTGTAGGCAAGTAACATTACTGTAAGCCTTTCTTGTAGGTGAATAACATTACTGTAAGCCTTTCTTGCAGGCGAGTAACATTACTGTAAGTCTGTCATGTAGGCAAGTAACATTACTGTAAGTCTGTCTTGTAGGCAAGTAACATTACTGTAAGTCTTTCTTGTAGGCAAGTAACATTACTGTAAGTCTTCTCTTGCAGGCAAGTAACATTACTGTAAGACTGTGTTGTAGGCAAATAATATTACTGTAAGTCTGTCTTGTAACATCACTGTAAGTCTGTCTTGTGGGCAAGTAACATTACTGTAAGTCTTTCTGTAGGCAAGTAACATTAAGTAACATGTAACTGTAGTAACATTACTCTTTCTTGTAGGCAAGTAACATTACTGTAAGTCTGTCTTGTAGGCAAGTAACATTACTGTAAGTCTGTCTTGTAGGCAAGTAACATTACTGTAAGCCTGTCTTGTAGGCAAGTAACATTACTGTAAGTCTGTGTTGTAGGCAAATAGCATGACTGTAAGTCTTTCTTGTAGGCAAGTAACATTACTGTAAGACTGTGTTGTAGGCAAGTAACATTACTGTATAGGAGTAACATTACTGTAAATTTCTTGTAGCAAGTAACATTACTGTAAGTCTGTCTTGTAGGTAAGTAACATTATTGTAAGTCTTTCTTGTAGGCAAGTAACATTACTGTAAGTCTTTCTTGCAGGCAAGTAACATTACTGTAAGTCTTTCTTGTAGGCAAGTAACATTACTGTAAGTCTGTCTTGTAGGCAAGTAACATTACTGTAAATCTGTCTTGCAGGCAAGTAACATTACTGTAAGTCTGTCTTGTAGGCAAGTAACATCACTGTAAGTATGTCTTGTAGGCAAGTAACATTACTGTAAGTATGTGAATAGAGATACAAAATTTAAACTTATAACAATTCTATTACTAGTGTTTGATGTAAATAACATTATAATTTCCACTGAAGTGTAATTTTTGCATTGAGAGCATGTATCTTGCAGAGATAGAAACACCTTTCTCTATCAACATTTTGGCAACCTGAAATAAAATCAAAATGTGTTCACAAAATTTACAAAAGGATAAAATTTCGGTCATATAATTTCCAGAGTGTAATTTTTGTTGTGACATGTATTGATTTTGAAATCTTTTTCTAAACAGGACATTTGCACTTTTAAATTGGTAGTATTCTTTTTCTAAACAGGACAGATGCACTTTTAAATTGGTAATATTCTTATCAAGGAATGAAGTGCATTTGCTACCTGGTGATGTGGAACAGAGAAAATAAATTGTGGACTTTTTCATCATTTGGCCTCTTTTGGCCCTATCCCCTGGGTTGGTATTATCCTGTCAAGAATATGCTAACCAAGTCTGATATTTTTTTCCAACAGGAAATAAACTGGAGATTTGTTAAAGTGAACAAAAACATTGTTTCTTTTTTATTATTTTGTAGTAGGTATAGTGCGCAAGAAGTACAATTAAGAAATTTTACAGTTTTCATTTATTTGACATTGTTTTACTGTTGCCAATGTTGGTAAGTGTTGGAGATTTCATCTAGTTATTCTCAATAATTTAGAAGTTATGGCCTGAACAAGAAATTACAAGAAGAACCAGAACAACCAATACTAGTGCATGCAATATTTATGATCACTGTGGGTCAAATCATACAAACTAAAATCTGCTATTTGTCTTCTGGTGTGAGGAATTTAAGTTATGTTTGCAGTGAGCAAGATAGACAGGTAAGATTTGCTTTTCAGACAAAAATGAACAAGCAGCTTCATTAAAGAGTATTTCGAACTCATACACTATTCAGCTTCACTAACAGTATTACACTAAAAAAAGCAATAAAATATTGTAATTTAACAAGAGATCCCAGAGGGATCTTGGCGACCACCATTTGAGGATCTGTTTTCAGTTCTTGAAGATTTTTGTTTGTTTGTTACAGGTGTTGTAAATGTTCATGAACTGGTCTTCATTGAATGTACTCAATGATGGCACAAGATATTTTTATTAAGCACCTATTAGCAAATATCATTTGAAAAAGATCCCAAAGTATTATTAGATAGCAGTCAGTTACAGGTGGATAATGGACAATATGCTTGTGCTGTATTACTGTCGACATCCAAGATGGCTGCCTGTGTGCCACCTTGATTTCAAATCAGTCAAAAAAAGGTACAATGCACAACTAGGGACCAAGGGAAACCAATATCTATGAAATATCAAAAGGATCCATCCAGTACTTCCTCAGATATACCAGTAACAAACTTTTACATCCAAAAACCAAGATGGCCACCTGTCGGCCATCTTGAATTTGAATCAGTCCAAAAAAGGTACAATGCACAACTAGGGACCAAGGGGAACCTGCATATGAAATTTGAGAAAGATCCATCCAGCACTTTCCAAGAAATGGCAGTAACAAACTTTTACTTCCAAAATCCAAGATGGCCATCTGTCAGCCATCTTGATTTCAGATCAGTCCAAAAAGGTATAATTCACAACTAGGGACCAAGGGGAAACTGCATATGGAATTTGAGAAAGATCCATCCAGTACTTTCCAAGAAATAGCAGTAACAAACTTTTACATCCAAAATCCAAGATGGCCACCTGTCGGCCATCTTGAATTCGAATTAGTCCAAAAAAGGTACAATGCACAACTAGGGACCAAGGGGAACCTGCATATGAAATTTGAGAAAGATCCATCAAGCACTTTCCAAGAAATAGCAGTAACAAACTTTTACTTCCAAAATCCAAGATGGCCACCTGTCAGCCATCTTGATTTCAGATCAGTCCAAAAAGGTATAATGCACAACTAGGGACCAAGGGGAAACTGCATATGGAATTTGAGAAAGATCCATCCAGCACTTTCTCAGAAATAGCGGTAACAAACTTTTACTTCCAAAATCCAAGATGGCCACCTGTCGGCCATCTTGAATTCGAATCAGTCCAAAAAAGGTACAATGCACAACTAGGGACCAAGGGGAACCTGCATATGAAATTTGAGAAAGATCCATCAAGTACTTTTCCAGAAATAGCAGTAACAAGAATTGTTTGCGGACAGACAAACGGACCACGGACCACAGACAGCAGGGCGATTTGAATACCCCACCATCTGATGATGGTGGGCTAAAAACTGAAAAATAGATATTCTCTCTCACACATCACTTTCATATAAATCATGGATATCACTGAAACTCTTCCATGGTGTTTTTGCTAAATAAGCAGAAGAAATTGGAGGGATGATGGCTCAATCATTATTTTTGCGATTTATACATTATTTTCCTTCTTCATCTCATGAATAATTTATGAATAATAATGCTTCTCTCCATACAGAACTTACAATGTCTATATAAACTTTCTCTATGACTTTTTCCTTAGCAAGTCCTGTTCATTCTGACACCAGTTTCATAAGTGAATGCCTATTTTTTTAAGAACACTTTTCTTCATGCATTTTCTGGTCAATAAGCTTTCTTGAAAGAAACTGCAAAGGAATGATGAAATACTTTACCCTCAACTGTAGATCTACTTGTGACCTAGGTGCTGTATGCAATGCCAAAACATGTAGCAGATTTTGATGACTAGCATTGGTGATTTGTAGACTGCTCAAGGTGGTTATCCTCTTCAACAACCTCAAAGCTACATGATATCTGTTTACACGCAAAGCAGCCTAAAAAAAACCCAAAACAATTATTTTTGACTGGTACATGAACAGTTGTGCTATTCACATGGTAATCAATGCTTTTGGGCAAACAATTCTCATACACTTCACAGAGTGATCCAGTGGTTGTTGAGGATGGGATAAACACTGGTCTGGGAAAGACATCAACTTACAATAGGACAGTGGGATGATTTTTCATGTAGCGTAATCATGTAGCAAATTGATAACATTATCATTTTTGACACACATTTCTTGGGACATTAATGATGGCGTAAAGAATAGGTTTCACAACAACTTACAGTTTCTTACAGAACCATGTAGGTAGATAAATTCTAAATTTATCTGGAAAACTTGTTAGAATGCATACTATTGTCAGAAATTCTTAGTTCCCAATTTTGGTGTGAAAATGAACAAAGGAACATAGTTCAATATATAAAAGAGTACAACTTCAGCAAGTTGCACAATGGCCATGTACAGAGTACATGATTTTACTAGGACAGACAAAATCTGGCAGTTGCAGACAACTGGTTTTATAAACATCAGACAAAAAAGACACACTTGCTAGATATAGGTCAACACCTGGCCAAATCTTCTGAAACTTAACCTCTGGAAATTTTTGAACTCTGAAATGGGTCAAAAGAATGAATTGGAACAAATATGCTAATTTGTCATTGCTGCCAGGTAAAGGACAAATGTAACCTGTAGGTTCTGGTTATTCAGAAGAACTTGTTACCTTGATATTGGGTCATAATAATTTATTTAACAAACTCGACGTACTTCAATTTCAGCATGCTACTTTGTCACTGTGTGCTTTGGCTAAACATACTGGAGTCTTGTGGCTTTTCAATTTAAGTTCCTTCAGTTTAAATTATTTAGTAGAACAATTTATTAACCCTTCACCTCTATAAGCTACCAACCAAAAATCATGACCTTATAACTTTACATTATTTTCTTCAAACATGACGATGTTTGAGAGAAGATAATACACTACCAGTAATGAACTCAAAAATATCCCTGTTGGTTATCTTCTTAACACTGGAAAAACACTAAGCAGGAACACAGTTTTTTGGAATTCCTCAATCTGTCTACTAACCTCTATGACCATGCTGTCCAATGTAGTATTATCCAGTACCATGTGTGCAACTCCCTGCAGCTCTTTTTTAATTGCCTCCTGTCAACATGAAAGCATATTCTTGAGTCTGAATACCATCAGTGTTTCGCCTTATACTACAGAAGAAAAGAGGCTGTTTTCCCTTACCAAAAATGGCCTCGTCCCAAATGGAACAGAAATAGGAATGTTTCTTAACTTGTGTAATGATACTGCCACATTTTCCAAATTCATACAATCACAAGAAACAGTTAAATTCAAGACAAGAGATCCCAGAGGGATCTTGGCGCCCACCATTTGAGGATCTGTTTTCATTTCTTGAAGATTTGTTTATTTTTTTTTTGTTTGTTACAGGTGTTGTAAATGTTCATGAACTGGTCTTCATTGAATGTACTCAATGATGGCACAAAATATTTTTATTAAGCACCTATTAGCAAATACCATTTGAAAAAGATCCCAAAGTATTATTAGATAGCAGTCAGTTACAGGTGGATAATGGACAATATGCTTGTGCTGTATTACTGTCGACATCCAAGATGGCTGCCTGTGGGCCACCTTGATTTCAAATCAGTCCAGAAAAGGTACAATGCACAACTAGGGACCAAGGGAAACCAATATCTATGAAATATCAGAAGGATCCATCCAGGACTTCCTCAGATATAGCAGTAACAAGATTTTACTCTCAAAATCCAAGATGGCTGCCTGTCAGCCATCTTGATTTCGGATCAGTCCAAAAAGGTATAATTCACAACTTGGAACCAAAGGGAAAGAGAAAGATCCATCCAGTACTTTCCAAGAAATAGCAGTAACAAACTTTTACTTCCAAAATCCAAGATGGCCACCTGTCAGCCATCTTGAATTCGAATCAGTCCAAAAAAGGTACAATGCACAACTAGGGACCAATGGGAAACTGCATATGAAATTTGAGAAAGATCCATCCAGTACTTTTCCAGAAATAGCGGTAACTAACTTTTACTTCCAAAATCCAAGATGGCCACCTGTCGGCCATCTTGAATGCGAGTCAGTTCAAAAAAGGTACAATGCACAACTAGGGACCAAGGGGAAACTGCATATGCAATTTGAGAAAGATCCATCCAGTACTTTTCCAGAAATAGCGGTAACAAGAATTATTTACGGACGGACGGACCACGGACCACGGACGCAGGGCGATTTGAATAACAATAATAAAATAAACTACCACTGGGACTGATGAGAATCCAATATTTTTCACATAATTTAGATAACATTAGTTAAACATTTCAAACTTTTTTTTTTATTAAATACACTTTCATTATGCTATTAAAAAGAACTTTTAAAGGCTAGTAAAATAAACCAAAAACAACACTCAAAAATACTTTCCACCATCACTACACTTTTTTGGAAAACTAATGAGAAATATGTTGTCTACAAACCTGGAATATGGTGTAGGTTTCCACTTCATCTTTCTCTATTACTATTTCAGGTTTCCATTTCCAGGATGGTTTTCTGTCTGTAATTTTCTCTTTTTTCTCTGGTGGTACAATAATAACCTTATCTGCTACGTTGGCACCTTTCTGTATCAACATGATAGCACAGCTGTAAAACAAAAATACTAGTTGTAACACTCAGCAAACCTTAAGTCTGGCTTGGTATTTTATCCTTATAGTAAAGCTTTTCACATTGACCATGAACTAAATCAGTGAGATGTCATGTACAAAAGTTTTTCCATTGCAGAATTGGTCAATAGTGACCACTGACCTGTTACCCTCTATGGAGGATGACCAAAACTGAATTGGCATGCATGTTGTTGAGTGTTGCAAACTTCAACTCAAGTGAATGGACTTTGATTCAAGAATCTGATATGAAAGATTCACCTGTTCAATCATGTGGATTACTTCAGATACTCAACAAGTGCAATTAATGTAAATCATTATAATTTCTTTCATAACAATTCTCAAATAAATTGTGCTTATATATTTCAAATGTAACACTTAGAAAAGTAATGTATTACAAAAAAAGGCTAATTGAAGTAATGTAATGTTGTGGTGATAACTGATTATATGTAACATATTACCTGTCATGGCCTTTGTTAACAGCCAAAGACAGAGGTGTGTTACCCTCTTTGTCTTTACGATTCACTTCAGCTTTCCTCTGGAAATAACCATATATTTTTGTTTTGTTAATTTCATTTCAGTTAGGTAGCTTATTTGGAAAATGAAAAATGTTGTAATGCTCTTGTTTTTTAACTTGGGGATCAACCATTTTATAAGACAGCATAAAAACTGATAACATCAAGTTGAACCGACTTAATATTTATAGATAAAAATATAACCTTAAACAGTCTAAAACTGGGATTCAAATTGATTTTTTCAAATGGCTTTTAAATACAACTGTGTTCTATACTATATTCTATTAACATTCCATTTTCATTTTCTTAGATACAATTTGAATAATGACACATTCCATGATACTTAACATATTCCCCACTGATAAAAACTATAGTCAATAACCACTGTTCATTATAACTAATTTGATATGAGGTTGAATGTTATTGTAGTGTAGCCTTAAATCAAATCTCTTAACTTCCTGATCTTCTGAAATCTATATCCTTACACTAGGAACTGATATCATCAACATTCCACATTAATAATTCTATAAACAAAGCCCATATAAAAACAAGAGGCCCATGGGCCTTAACGATCATCTGACAAAAAGCAAGCCAAACTCTAACAACAGTGAGTCTGCTGTTAAAACAGTGGGCTTTATTCATTTGAATTAACTTGGTAGCCCTTCCTCCCAGCATCCTACAGGCCCAATATCAGCACTCTTGGACTTTTGCTTATTGAGAAGAAGTCGTTTGTATATTTTAACATATTTGACCCCAGTGACCTTGAAAGTGGGTCAAGGTCATTAATTTAAACAAACTTCGTAGGGCTCCATGCCAGCATGCTATGGGCCAAGTATTAGCCCCCTAGGCCTTCTAGTATTTGAGAAGAAGATTTTTGAATGAAAAGTTTACGGACGACGCACGGCAGACGGCGCACCCTTCGGGTCAGATGACCTAAAAATCCAATCCATTTTACTCTTTCTTACTGAAAAGTTTCAATACTACTTGCATTCTTCCATCCTTTAAGAAACAGTATTTGAGAATGACTTGTGTACCTGTAGAAGATGAACACAACAAATTGTTGCTCCTCTGTTAGCTGCTAGGTGTAGTGGTGTCTGACAAGATTTGTCTATCTCATCAATCTGTTGATCCCTCATCGCTTTGGTCAAAACACTGCACAACTCAACAGGATCCAGGGGGGAACTAACACAGGAACTAAACAAACAATACTATTAATGTCACTAGTTTTCTTTAAATAGGATCCAGAGGGGAACTAACACAGGAACTAAACAAACAATACTATTAATGTCACTAACAGTTATTGTCAGTTACTAACACAGATGTAGGTAAGATAACATATGCTTTGTTAATATCATATAAATCAATAAATCATGATACTAAGGTAATTTACCATCCCTGCTTAACAAATGTGTAGTGGATTGGCATTCTACTGTCGATGTCTTTGGCAAATACATTAGCTCCCTGAGATATCAACAGCTCCTCCAAATCTGTGCTGGCATTGGATGTCCCAGAGTTGAAACTGACGGCCATGTGTAAAGGTGTACACTTGTTGATATCAACAGAGTTTACGTCAGCACCACCACTTAGAAGGACCTGAACCATGTCCACGGCATTAGACTCATTATCTACAACAGAACAATCCTTATTATGAAGACGGTATGTGTAAATAACAAAAATGCAGGAATGTGACTTTCTAACATGAGGGATTAATTATGTCAGAAACTAAACCAATATCTGACAAGCCCTGTAGAATATTTTAAAAAGCAGTTTTATTGATAGCTTAAGAATCTACCAAATAACTTAAGTATTAGTATTTTGAAGGGTCTAACATAAGTTGAGCCTTATTTTTTTAAGAATACAGCCTTTAGCCAAGTGAAGTCATATTACTAGAAGAAATAAGATCTTTAATCTGCAACTGTAACACTTACTTCTGTTAGCCACAGCTAAGTGAAGAGGTGACTGTTTATTTTTACTGTTTCGACAGTCCACCTGAGCCTTTGCCTTAACTAGCTGTCTCACTAGGTCAGGATTTCCCAACCTGTTATGAAATTCAAATAAAAATATTACTAAATCTTCATATAATATTTCATGTAAAAATCAAAAAAATTTTCTTATACAGATATATATGTATTACAACACAACATGAGATCCAGCACACTATTTCTAATTAAATATTTACCATCTATCAAACTGGGATCTACCAGAAAGCCGTCCAGGGCGACTAAATGGAAAATCATAAAAATCTTAATAAACATATGGACCAAATAAGTGCCCAGGGTGGTTATGGATGGTTAAGTTTTCTTTGATTTTGCCGACTGGTCATAAGCCTATGGCATATCAACATGTGAAGTATACCATAGGAGCAGATGTTCAATGTAAAACATCAGATGTTTTATATGTGAAATATAGCTATTATACTTTAAGATAGCTAGAAATATGTATATATGAATTTCATATCTATTAATCCTGCTATTTTTAATATATTATAATAGCTATATTTCACATACAGAATGTCCGATTCCCATAAAAATAGTTACTGTTATGCTAGCCCAATATCGTCAGGGTTGATTCTCCCACTACCTGCCATTGAATACTTTATTACTGTTTGTATGCATATATATGTTTGCAACCTTTGTACCTTTCAGCAGAAGTATTAAATAATCATTTCCGATTTTTTTTTTTTATATTAATAGAGTGCACAAATCTAGAGTCAACTGCAGCCATACATCCTGTTAAATGTGACACAAGTTCTAGGTCATGCTGGAGTGCCATTTTGTAATTTGCTTATAATTATGAGGCTCTTCATAGAGAAATCAGGCTCAAAGTTTCCTTTAAATTCAATTAGATAACTGATTGCAGCGAATAAAAAAAAGTCATGTGCATAAAACATAACTATTTTTTTAATCTGTTTCAAGCATCATTTGTATTTCATGCTTTTGTAAAGCATTATGATCTCATAACGATAAATCACCTGTAACAGGCCCTATCTTTATTCTTCATTGTCCCATAATAGCCTAAAGTTACCACCCATGGGCAGCTTATCAACTGGGCAGCTGTCCGGTAGATCCTACTATCAATATTTACTACATATCATTTAACTTCACACTGGGTGTAAAATGTTGAAACATAGGCTCATTTAAGTTGTTTGATACAAAATATTGTTTGATAAAGTTATGGCATCATAGTGAAACAAATCCTGCTTTTCATACTGAAATTTCAACAGACTTTTATCTTCTGATACAAAAGTGTAACCAATCCTGCCAATTTCTAGAAATGAATTATTTCATTGGTTTTTAATTCTGTTGACTTACTTGGCTGCTGTAGTCAAAACTGTTACTGTGGTTTCCTTGTCCAGAGGGAAGGTCGTGTTGGGGTTTGCTCCAGCAGCAAGCTACAATCAAAGCACAAGGAACATCATACTATATTGGGTTATACAAACAGTAGTAATTTTTGTTTACAAGACACATTTTACTACAGAACAGGAGAATATAATAAGAATAGAATGATGTTTTCAATGTTACTTTACTTCATTTAAATCGAACGGATCTTTTTATAAACAATTTTGAATTTAAAGTGCATAAAGAGAAGAAAGAATATACTGGAAATTTTTTAGCCTTAGATATAGAGATGGAATCTTTTAGAATCACTCTCATTAATTTATATGGGCCGAAGAATGACGACCCTGAGTTTTACGATATTCTTACTGAAACGATTGAAGACTTTGCGAATAAATACATGTATATCATCATCTGTGTTGATTTTAACTTGGTCCTCAACCCTAAATCTGATTATGATTAAAGTTATAAGAATCTCAATAATCCTAAAGCCAGAGATAAGGTTTTAGAAATCATTTTTTGATATTTTTAGAGAGCAGCATGAAGATATTAGGAGATACACATGAAGGAAAAGCAACCCACATAAGCAAGCTCGGCTGGACTTCTTTCTTATCTCGGAGAACTTTATATTACAAATCAAATATAGAATCTGGCTATCGGTCTGATCATTCTTTCCCAACAATATCCTTAATACTCAATGAATTTATAGCTGGTAAGGGGGTATGGAAGTTTATAATAGTCTACTACAAGATCTTGAATATGTAAATATGGTGAAACTTGTATTATTGAGACAAAAGCTCAATATTGTCTCCCAGTTTATAATATTAATAATTTAAATAATATTTCAGATGCTGACATTTTGTTTCCAATAGATGATCAACAATTTCTTGAAACATTTCTGATGAATATTAGAGGTAAATCTATATCCTACTCATCACACAGGAAAAAACATCAAAATATCAGAGAGGACATCCTTAAGAAAGCAATTTAGGTTATGGAAGAGCAAGATGAAGAAACATAGTTGAGTTAAAAAAAAGAGAATTACAGTCAATCAGGGAAAAGAAAAAACATGTAGGGAACTTTGTAGTCAGATCTATTAATTTGGGATATAAAAATTGTTGTTTGTCTATTACTCAAAGGCATGGCATTATCTCATGTATTCCAAAGGGAGAAAAACCCAGATATTTTATAAAAAATTGGAGACCCATTTCATTATTAAATGTATATAAAATTGTTTCTGGCACCATAGCACACAAAATAAAAGAATGATTTAAATGAAATAATTGACAAGGATCAAACAGGTTTTTTAGCAGGACGTTACATAGGGGAAAACACAAGATTTGTTTATGATGTTATGCAGTATACCGAAAATAATTATATCCCAGGTATTCTATTCAGTGTCCTGGACATTTATTGAAAGGGTTTTTAATTTTTTTTTTGGTTTTGGGAATGGTCTAATCTCTTGGGTCAAAACATTACATAACAAAGCTAGTGCTACAATTAATCAGGGTGGTAATCTGTCTTCTTTTTTTGAATTAAAAAGGGGCTGTCGACAAGGGGACCAAATCGCCCCCTATATCTTTAATCTGTGTGCCGAGAAACTAAGAAACAATGAGAGAATTAAAGGTATCGATGCCGATGGCTGTCCTATACTTCTGTCACAGTATGCAAATGACACTTCACTGGCACCTGATTGGTCAGAAAGGTCACTGAAGGAATCAATTACAGAACTTAACCTTTATGCAAACATATCAGGATTTAAAATTAATATTTCAAAAACCCAAGTGGTGTGGATTGGCAGCAAAAAATTCAACACATACCAATTCCTTCCTGAACTTAATTTACAATGGGTAGGGATCACGTCACACTTCTTGGTATCTAATTTCATGTTAACTTACATATGATATCAAAACTTAACTTTGACAAAAAACTTATAAAACTTAAATCAATTATTTAAAGATGATTATTAACCCCTATTGGTAAAAGAAACATAATCAAATAACTTTTGGTTCACAATTTAACAATCTATTTATCTCACTGCCATACCCTGATGACAAGTTCTCTCTAAATTAAACTCATTGTTATATGAATTTCTTTGGAACAGTAAAACTGACAAAATTAGAAGAGAAATTGTTACCCAAGATCACATTGATGGTGCTTTCAAAATGGCTAATGTTAGAGCCTTTATAGATTCTCTTAAGCTGTGGTGGATTAGAAGACTTTTCCAGTCTACTTCAAGGTGGCAAGTAATTCTTAAAACATATGTAAACTTAGACCTGATGGACAACTGTGGTACTAAATACATACAATGCTGTCAAAATAAATTTAAAAACAAGTTTTGGTCTGATGTTTTTAAAAATCTACACTATCCTAATGACATAAGAACAGATAAAAGTGAAATATTCCTGAAAAGCACTATATGGTTCAACAATCAAATAACAATTGATAAGAAATCAATTTTTATTAAGGACTGGTAAGGAAAGGGTGTCATTGTTGTGAATGATCTGATAAAAGATATTAATTCTGGAACATTCTATACTTTTCAGGAATTCACTCCAACCTACCATATACAGACTAATTTTCTCCAGTATCATAGTGTTCTCTGTAAAGCATTTTAACCCTGATCCAGATTTCCCTAAAATAAAATTAGAATATCTTTTTATCCCCTTAAACTTGGAACCTTTCTTTAAACAGCCTAAAGGTTTGAAATATTTTTATATAATTTTAATAAAGAGCAAGGTTATTCCATCAGGTCAGAAAAATTGGAATGAAGTATTTGATTCTAGTAATTCTACATGGCACCAAATTTTTAAAGCTACCCTTTCTGATAACGACAAATACAAAGCTCCAATGGTTTCAGTTTAGAATTAATCACCACATTCTTACAACTAATTCTTTTCTTTTTAAAACTTGATTAGCTATATCTCCTCTGTGTATACTAAGCAACTCTGGATTTGAAACTATAGCTCACTTTTTATGTGAATGCAAAGATAATAAAGTTAATAAAGCATCCTACCTATTTGGTTTCTTTACACAAAATTTAAATAGTAATGAAATACTAATTGTTATTAAACATAACATATATAAGATTTGCTGTTTCCATAAATCCCTTAATATAAACGTCTTAGTAAACACAATCATAAAATACTATAATGTACAAAGATTCATTGCAATTAGCAAGGGAGATAACTCTAAGGAAAAGTTTAACAAACTTTTTGCATTATAAATAATTCTTTACTTGTTACCCAGCTTTGATTAATTAGTCGACTTGAGTTAACCCTTTGTTTATCCTCATATATAATATCAGTCATCTAACCCTCCTCACTCTCTATCCTCTAACTACCCCCACCCCTCCTCTATCCCTTCCACCCCCCTGCTATCCCCCAACTCTCTCTCACACATAAGTCACAACACAAATGTATGTAAATGTTTGTAAACTATTTCTATATATGCTATAAGTGATGAGTGATTGTACATTTAGAAGGTATGTATGTCTACTGATTATGGTTTAAGCATGAATGCAAGGTGAAATACCGTAAAAACCCACGTAATGTCCGTATCTGTGTAATGTCCGCACCCCTTTTTTGACACAAAAATTTGGGGAAAAAACCCACCTTCCATGTAATGTCCGCGGGTAAAAAATGCAAATTGAAACTGCCGATTTCATTTCACGTAAGCTAATGTCGTAATGGTCGAGAGCATGTCGCATTGTGTATAACCTACAGGTACCATTCAAGAATTCACTTAATTGTTTATAAAAACAGTTATTCTCCATAATGGTACAGTAAGCATACCGGTATGACAAGTCCTCATTTCGATAATTGGTGTTTTGATAAGGGTTAGCCCAGCAGCGTTATAAACAGCTTGGGTCGTCTCCTCACCTCGAGTGTGAGTGAGTGACAGCGTGTGATTAGCCAATTAAAGATAACTATACAGTAACATGACCCGCCCACGTCCAAGCCAACATTGTACATAAATAATACGGGAAACCTGTACACAATCACAATCTTCTGTGGTGTCCGTAATTTAATTATCCGAGGGTACCCAACAGAAGATTATTTATTTGAATCATGGGGAAACGCTAACGAGAAAATGGAAGGAATTAACCATGGAAACTATAATAAATAATCATAAATAATCATGTTTGGTTGAGGAAACATCATAGGAAAAACCATAGAACGATAATATTAGGTATGCTTGGCTTTTAAGAACACAATTCAAGGAGATATGATATGAATTGTCGGAAGGAAAAAAGTGTCATTTTCTCTATATCTCTGTAATGTCCGCACCCCCTTTTTTGGATTGATTTTCGGTGAAAAAATTGCGGACATTACATGGGTTTTTACAGTACATTTTTTTATATAGCGGTTGTGTAAAGAGTACATATACATTCATAATTCTTCTATTATTTTGTTATGCTGGAAAAATAACTTAATCCTGTTCAGAAGATGTGAAGTCTGATATAAAATACACACATATATTAGTTTTAATCAGTGCTATTGGTGGTTTGTGCTGTATGTTTGATGCATTGCTAATACAAGTACAGTGAAACCTCACCTAACGACCACTTCAAAATTACGACCACCCGCTATTACGGGCACTTTTTTTCAGTCCCGTTTTTTTCACTATATATGTATTGGTTGCTTCAGTATTACGACCACCCCGCTATTCCGTATTACGACCACTTCTTACAATCCAAACAACAACTAACGAACGATAATTGACCTTACTGACCAGTGATTATAGTTTACCTGGTGGGCAGTGAACCGTTAGCATGTGTGTCCTTCAAGACCATTGTTTCGTCACGGGTTACCGACCCCGTCACCAGGTGGCATTACACGAAGTAAACATCATTATCGGATTAACTTGTGTGAAACTGCATGCCAGACACATTTTAGTAGCAATATATTGTTGGTTAATTATATATTGATAGATCGGTAGGTATGCTGTTAAACACCTTAGAAGCCCTGCATACCCAAAAGTGAATTATGTAGTCTTTTCGGTCGATATTCCTTTGCTTGCACGCGTACACGTTGTCGAGGTTTTTTAACTGTTTTTGTACCAATATTACACTCTCGACATCGTTTGTCCAGATCCGTAGCTCTTCTTCCATAGCTGGACTCTCTCTTTCATTTTTTTTTTTTTTTTAGTAAAAGACAAATCTGTTGTACTGAGTGATACACTGACAGAGTTAATGTGTTTGCGAATTTATGTGAAAAATGAAGCGTTGAAAGACTTTATAGTAACTTCATTAATGCTGTTACAAATGTGTTTTACTGTGTAATACATTGACTGAGTTAATGTGTTTGTAAATTTATGTGAAAAATTATCATTAAATTCCTATTGAACTTACAATTAATTGTTTGTTTTTTTTTTATTCAATATTTACAACAGTAAAGATTCATGTATATTATGGTATAAACTAAGGAATATATACATACATATTCTTTTGTCAATTCACCAATTTTATCTTTTTCACATGCATTTCATAAAATTCAACATTTCATATAAAGTTTAGTTATTATTGTTAACTAGACCAATGTCGAGGAAGGGCCCCGCATAATACCTACCCCTTATGATTGAGTTTCTTAATATTAAGAAATATATGGACAGGTGTCAAGTATTGAAAGCAACTTTCATCAAAATCCAATGAAAATGGACAGATGGACAGATATATGGATCGACGGACAGGGAAACGGACAGACAGACAGACGGACAGACGGACAAGGTGATTACTATAGGGCCCCGCATCGCGGCCCTAATAAATATACATGAACATTACATAATGATATATATAGACTTTATTTTAAACAGTTACGATTCTTTGCGGTCAATCTGATCCACCTCACTATTAAGACTACCTCGCTATTAAGACCACTTTTGTCCAGTACCCGATGTGGTCTTAATAGCGAAGTTTCACTATATGTATGTATGATGTATATTTATTACTAGTATGTGTAGTTAGTATGGTATGTGTGGTGTATATCTAATACTAGTATGCATGTAGATTGTTTTGTATGTGTGTGGTGTATACTTAATATTGATGTATGATCTGTTATGTATGTGAAGAACAAGAGGTCTACAAAATTTGCCATCATTTTATGGGCAATGTGTTGGTATGTGTGTGTGATGATAAAACTGAATAAAAAAAATGTTACATAAAGAAAAGATGTTAACACTTAACAACTTAATAACACAATATTTCTGTTATATTCCCATCTATACATATCTTTATACTAACTGGTAGTTACAATAATTATGTCCATATCTCGGTGTGTTGGCGTTACAATGTCACATGTGTATCACACAAACATGTTAATTAAATCCTATAATAATGTGATGCCATTTACTACACACACATTTCATTGTAAATGTGTTGATACTGTGTTTGAAAATGATGCATATGTTTATCATGTTGAAGGAAATAAAGAAAACACTGGTAACGAGCTAAACATTAAAAAAAAACAACTCACTTGATTCCTGAGATGATACAGATGTGTTGAGGAAAGGTTGTTATAAAATCAACAAACCAGAAATTTTAAGTTTGCTTGGTATGTAAATCCTTTTTGGATTGAACAGTTGTTAAAGTCATGTTTAGACTATGTATCCAAGGAAAATATGAGGTATACTCACCAGTATTTCAACTGCCTCCTTGCTCTGTTTCTCTACTGCAACAGCCAGTGCAGTTTTCCCATCCAAGTTTTTCAATTCCAGATCAGGTTTCTTTTCTAGAATCATTCTCAGGCCAGGAAAATCAGAACCATCTGAAAACTTCCTTCCCCTATGTATCATGAAGTGAACAGCAGATTGCTTTCCTGTAAATATAAGGTGAAACTTGCACTTCATTTCATCTTTTGAACTTCTGTTGACTATCTTAAAATAAACAGTACCAGCTAGTGATATTTCTGTTGAAATAGTTACAGGAAAAAATAAGCCTAGAAATACACATGTAAAACATATTTATCTTAACATAAATTACACATGATTATACGTCTCATGTGTCCTAGCTTCCCCATATCATCAGAATTACACAAACTATACTGTATAATCTTACTGCATATTTCACTTATAAAGTGCAATCAAGGTAAAGTGTAGACAGAGTGAAGAATTTGCTAGTGTTAGACTGACCATATAGAAATGTTTATGTACATAGAAAACATGTAAAAGAAGATATGCGACAAGTAATGATGACCTTTTATGCTTCAATCATGAATGATCAAGTAAGCGATTCCAATGAATGATTATCATTTGAATATGGAAACATTTTGTGAATTTCTTCACAGTAAATGATAGATGGTTACAAATAAACAATGAAAATGTAACGGTTTTGGCTATTTGGAAGACTGTTAGAATAGTGATACCTTGGTTCACCAAATTCCTTCCACTTACCACATTCATCGTACTCTTGTTTATCCTCAGAAGACATTTTATTTACATCATTCACCTGATATTTTTTCTGGACAGTTATTGATACATCCAAACCAGTTAATTCTACTAAAGTTTTGATAAAATCACATCCATTCTGATAAACTTTTGGCACTTCAGAATCCTTCATGTCATGTGGTTTCTGTGGAGAAAAGCATCCATTTAGAACAAGCTTGAAAATTTTACACTATCTTTTCAATTTTTGCGAAAAAAAAAAAGTGTACCAGTACAAGATCTAAGAGAGTTTTTGAACGAGTACCTGCCCATCATGTGTTTGTGACTGAAACAGATCGTCTTGAACTGTCATTAGCAATCGTATAATTTGAAGACTGAAATACAAAAATATCATTCCTGTGGATTTAATTTATCACATCTTTTAAAATGAATATCAATAACATCTTCTGAACTTTCCAGGTTACTTGGAAGCCATAGCGGAATTTTAATAGCCTCTTGCATCCTGGGATCGATAGGTCATCAGGTTATAGGTCAAATTCTAGAACAATCGCCATACTTGTTTACGATATGAATGGCCTCATGTAACTTACAAGAAGAAATGACATGAGAATATAAGAATTTGGTCAGTATGCAAGGGCGTTTCTTAATATTTAACAGTACAGACACCGATGGAGAGATTGTTTAGTAAACTGTAAGTAACGTCAGGCCCTATTTCTGTGCATCGACAATCTGTGATGGCACCTAAGCCAAATTTTTTCGTTTTTTGAAATACATCAATAAAATAAAGGATAATCTGTGTATAATTCATTTGCAAACTTTATTAAACATATTTTGATATATTGCCCTCAGTTATCTTTTATATCAACAAACTTTGGTCAACGGAATGGTTACCACTACATAAGAACTGCCTTCCATTATCTGTTACTGGTATATCAAACATCAGCAAAAGTGGTCACCATATCGTAACGAAGGGTGTGGCATACATTCCAGTGCGTCTTCTATGTGGATCAAATCGCAAAAATCGCTGAAAACTGGTCCTGCAGCTTAGATACCAGTGCAGCTTATAACCCAGAAAATACACAAATTAAAAGTAAGTCATGTTTGGGGTGGGTGGTTGGGTGGAGGTGTTGATATTCCCTAACTACTTCATCAGGAATGGTATAATTTAGGGAATTTGAACACGGACCTGTAGCCATCAAAATCTAACCATGTGTAAAACTTAATGTTCCTTTATTATGGAGTGGAATGTACCAATTTTGTTGAGAGGCTTTGGACATATCTTGTAAACTAATCTTTTTGCAACAGCATTAACTTCCCTAAATGAGTCAGCAGTAACCAAAATATACAGACATCTGATTTCAAACACTATTTCAGAGAAAATCTTACCGTGAAGCTGGAGTACGTAGAACAGGCAAGAAGGAATGGTGTGTAGCCAGAATGATCTACTTCTGTCACCATCTGTTTAATTCCCTCTAACCCAGACCTAAATGACATCACTTTCTTCAGCTTTGGCATCTCTGGTTCTTTGACCATTTTCACAGAATCTCCATTTTCATTAGAGTCTACTTCCATTTTTTCATCAAGTCCATTTTCTTTAATGTTATTTAATGGGTTCTGCAAAATGAAAATGTATATTTTGATGACAACTTGCTTGTCTTCTAATGTTGAAACATCATTGACTGACCATCTGATTATATTAATGACAACTTGTGTCTTCTGATATTGAAATGTCTTTGACTAAACATTCTATTACAATTATGAGTATAAGAAGATTAACTGAAGTATGTTTGCATCACTGCCAATTCAAGAAGACATGAATTTTAGCCATATGATATTTTTAATAAGTGTATTAAGTAAAAAATTTATACATATTAAATATAAGACAAACATTAATTACCTCTTGTGCCAGGATTTTCAATAGCGGTGACAGATCATTTCCCATGCATTGTTGAGCAAGATGATGCAAAGCGTTGGCGCCATTCTCATCTTTCTCAGCAGATATAACACCACCTTTCTCTACTAAAAGATGCACCAACTTCGTGTTTACCTGCAAGTCAATTATACAGCTGTCTTTAGTGGTCATCAATATCACCAATCTACATGTAACACTATCAGTTGTACAGAAGACCCATTCATTAAACTGAACCAATACAACTTTAACAAGTATCAATAAACAGACTTCCTACAGAATCGATGACATTTTGTACATTCTCTCCTCCTGATAATCTGACACCAAACATACAAGTATGGTGGTGCCACAAACTGTTTTTGCTGTACATGATTGGTGCTAGGGAAGTTCAAAACACACTATTAATGCCTATAATAGCCAAATCATTTATGCATAATGACCTCAATAATTTCTCAAAGTTTTTCCACGCATCAAGTTATTGTAACTTCAGAGAAACTTCTAATAATTATCAAAGACTCTTAACACTAAGTTTATACTAAAAATGTATTATACTGTTAGACGAGTAGATTTCACTGCAGTTTTAATCAACGTTAATGTTAGAAAAGTAGATTTCACTGAAGTTTTAATCAACATTAATGTTAGAAAAGTAGATTTCACTGCAGTTTTAATCAACATCAATCATCAGCAAATCAGACATTGTGATATTGAGGCTTTATGTGCCCGTCCTTTAGCAAACTGTTCAATTTAAGATAGTGTCAAGGTTTGCATATCACACTTTAAACATAAGCAAATTTATATTGACAAATGAACCATTGATATTACTGATGAGTGAAGCATTCGAACTTTCTGTAGCAACTACATTTAATTTCTATTTCTCCTGTATTAAGTTTTAATGTCTTCATTTCTTGTCTTGTTTTCTGATCCATCAACAGAAGTAAATCACACCTTTTCTATTGCCAATGTGACAGCTGTTTGCTTCTTTGTAGTTTTCACAGCTGGATTACAACCTGCCTTCATCAGTAGTTCTGCAATCTTCACGGTTAAATCCATGTTTTCATCATACTTCTTCTGATAGTTCTAAAAAGATAAATCCATACATACCACGCAACACAATTTGAACATCAGGATACAGAATCTCAGTAATCCTCTGCTTCAGAGAATTAATTTCAATTATAAATCATAATTTCCTTTCTGTACCAATTGGCTTTTCTTCTCCAAACAACTTTAACTCAATATATTGTCCTTAATTTAATTTTTTTTCATTTTTCATTGGAATATTTTGGTCTTAACTGCATATTTCAAAATATACTTTGAGGATTGAGATGACAAATATCTAACATATCTAATATCACCATAAATTTATCACAGATATCTGAATGTGTTTTCCTACCATTACTATAAATTTACCACAGATATCTGAATGTGTTTTCCTACCATTACTATAAATTTACCACAGATATCTGAATGTGTTTTCCTACCATTACTATAAATTTACCACAGATATCTGAATGTGTTTTCCTACCATTACTATAAATTTACCACAGATATCTGAATGTGTTTTCCTACCATTACTATAAATTTACCACAGATATCTGAATGTGTTTTCCTACCATTACTATAAATTTACCACAGATATCTGAATGTGTTTTCCTACCATTACTATAAATTTACCACAGATATCTGAATGTGTTTTCCTACCATTACTATAAATTTACCACAGATATCTGAATGTGTTTTTCTACCATTACTATAAATTTACCACAGATATCTGAATGTGTTTTCCTACCATTACTATAAATTTACCACAGATATCTGAATGTGTTTTGATTACATTACTATAAATTTACCAGATATCTGAATGTGTTTTCCTACCATTACTATAAATTTACCACAGATATCTGAATGTGTTTTCCTACCATTACTATAAATTTACCAGATATCTGAATGTGTTTTCCTACCATTATTATAAATTTACCACAGATATCTGAATGTGTTTTCCAACCATTACTATAAATTTACCACAGATATCTGAATTTGTTTTCCTATTATTTCATAAAATAGATAAATGACAATTACAGCTTGATTTAAAATGTTAATTTAACAACATATTGTACCAGAATGCCCATTACAGATTGCAGATGAGGGTATTAACAATATATTGATTATATTCTATTCCAGTAAATGATAACAATATTGTAGATAATACAGGAATGCTATGTTGGTGATTTACATCAAGTTAAACATAAGGTAATAACTAGGTCTTAACTAGGGAAAATACAACTGGAGTCAGAACACATTTTCAAATGCACAAGGAATCTTGGGAGGTACAAACAACTTGCCAAGGAATACCAACAATAACAAGAGGCCCATGGGCCTTAACGGTCATCTGACAAAAAGCAAGCCAAACCTAGAAAGTGGGTTGAGGTCATTCATTTGAACAAACTTGGTAGCCTCTCCTCCAAGCATCTTACAGGCCCAATATCAGCACTCATGGACTTTTGCTTGTTGAGAAGAAGTCGTTTGTATATTTTAACATATTTGACCCCTGTGACCTTGAAAGTGGGCCAAGGTCATTCATTTGAACAAACTTTGTAGGGCTCCATGCCAGCATGCTATGGGCCAAGTATTAGCCCCCTAGGCCTTCTAGTATTTGAGAAGAAGTTATTTAAAGATTTTGACATATTTGACCCCTGCGACCTTGAAAGTTGTTCAAGGTCATTCATTTAAACAAACTTGATAGCCCTTCATCCCAGCATGCCACAGGCACAATATCAGCAATCTGAGCCTTTTGGTTATTGAGAAGAAGTTGTTTAAAGATTTTGACATATTTGACCCCTGTGACCTTGAAAGTTGTTCAAGGTCATTCATTTAAACAAACTTGATAGCCCTTCATCCCAGCATGCCACAGGCACAATATCAGCAATCTGAGCCTTTTGGTTATTGAGAAGAAGTTGTTTAAAGATTTTAACATATTTGACCCCTGTGACCTTTAAAGTGGTTCAAGGTCATTCATTTGAACAAACTTGGTAGTCCTTCATCCCAGCATGTCACAGGCCCAATATCTACACTCTGAGCCTTTTGGTTAATGAGAAGAAGTTGTTTAAAGATTTTAACATATTTGACCCCTGGACCTTGAAAGTGGGTTGAGGTTATTCATTTGAATAAACTTGGTAGCCTTTCCTCCCAGCATGCTACAGACCCAATATCGGCACTCATAGACTTTTGCTTATTGAGATGAAGTCCTTTGTATATTTTAACATATTTGACCCCTGTGACCTTGAAAGTGGGCCAAGGTCATTCATTTGAACAAACTTTGTAGGGCTCCATGCCAGCATGCTATGGGCCAAGTATTAGCCCCCTAGGCCTTCTAGTATTTGAGAAGAAGTTATTTAAAGATTTTGACATATTTGACCCCTGTGACCTTGAAAGTTGTTCAAGGTCATTCATTTAAACAAACTTGATAGCCCTTCATCCCAGCATGCCACAGGCACAATATCAGCAATCTGAGCCTTTTGGTTATTGAGAAGAAGTTGTTTAAAGATTTTAACATATTTGACCCCTGTGACCTTTAAAGTGGTTCAAGGTCATTCATTTGAACAAACTTGGTAGTCCTTCATCCCAGCATGTCACAGGCCCAATATCTACACTCTGAGCCTTTTGGTTAATGAGAAGAAGTTGTTTAAAGATTTTAACATATTTGACCCCTGTGACCTTTAAAGTGGGTCAAGGTCATTCATTTGAACAACTTGGTAGAGCTCCATGCCAGTATCCTCTGTGCCAAGTATTAGCCCCCTAGACCTTCTAGTATTTGAGAAGAAGTCGTTTGAATGAAAAGTTTACGGACGGCGCACGGCGGACGACGACGGACGAAGCATGATGACTATAGGTCATCGGACCCTTCGGGTCCAGATGACCTCATAAAAAGACTCTATATGTCAGTTGGTAAGTCTAAACATCAAATTTAAGTCGTTGACAGATAGTAGGTAGTTATAGTGTGTACGTATTGTCTAATCTAACAAAGAAACAATGTTACACGAGATGTTACCTGCCAGCATATGAAAAACATCTGAAGTGCACAAACATTGATATGCTTACCTGTTACAACAGGATTAATTTCATGTATCCTTACTAACCCCACTCTCTTAACACAAACTTCTGAATTCAGACTTAATTTTGGAGGGTATAAAATGATTGTGAAATAACTTTTTATAATAATATAAGAAAAATACTTACTGGACCACTGACATGTCCTGGTTTCACGGTGTTTCCAGCTAAATGATGAAGCTGGAAATGAAAATACAAATTTTATTCATGTTTAAAATTCTTCCACTATTCCGGGTATTAATGGTATCAGTCCCCACCAGATCTCCAATCCAGTTTTGATAGCATAAACAAAGAATTAATGGAACATTAACATGTGATCAAATGTTACTGAGGTTGCAATTATAAAATCTGTGTTGCTGAACTCAACATTATCATATTGTTAGTTTTAAATTTTTATTTTGGACACACTGGGACACGAATATGAAACTCTTTGTATACTCACAGCATTCAGGCCGTCAATGTCTGTAATACTAGGGTCAGATCCCTTGTCCATCAGGTACACAATCTGGTCGTACAAACTACTGTTCAGCTCACTACTACAGGCAACACTGATCAATGTCTTTCCTAATAGAGAAAGCAATATAAGGAAAACAAGTTAAACCCCAACACTAATAACACAAAAAAAAAAAAAAAAAAAAGATGTATATATACATACAATTGATAATCATTCCATCCTGCATTTGTGTACCATTACACATGAAGAGCTAATCAAGTAAAAACGTAAGCACAAAATGTAATCGTTTTTGTCAAGTTACCACCATATATATGTCTGAAGTTTAGAAGTTTTAGAAATGAAAGCGCTTATGCTGAAATCTTTTGTTCTCATTTCATTTAAATTTCATAACTTCAATTTTTATTATATTTGTATCTACTTTAATAATACTTTAAATGTACTTAATCTGGCACAATTAAACTTCCATGCAATGTCAATTTTTGTCAAATTAGCAGACTAATGAATTTGCACATTCACTATAATTGCTATACTGACAATTAACACGATAATATCTTAGCACAATGCTTTCAGTGCAAAAGATTATAGCTACGTATTATTGTTAACAATATCAATCTATAAACATGTAAAATTCCTAAGTCCAGTGGGTTTCGCTTTTAAGTTCAGATGGACCAAGTTGTATTACACAGGTTGGATTTATATATTTAACTAAAAGTATTTGATTTAGAGCCAACAACCACTGCTCAGTCAAAGTTGGATCCAAAGGTCCTACACCTGGGTACCCAAAGGAATGCAAGGGATAGATGAGATGCATCAATCCAACAGACAGAGAACCCAGAGAACCTGCCCTAGTCTGTTGGATTGATTCATCTCAACTTTTTATACTGAACTGTTTCAACATACACCACACCAAATACCTCAATATTTTCAATCTCACCTGAATCATTTTTAAAGTTGATATCAACTCCAGGCATTTTCAAAAGAAAGTCGACCAAACCCATGTGGGCTTTCATGAAGGCTATTCCAACAGGTGTCAACTGAAAGAAGTTTGAATTTGAATATTGATATAAACCCATAAGGATATTCACAACATGGCTTTTATAAATGGAGAGAACAGGACCAGGGAATATTTGATCAAATTTGTGGTGGGGCCTTACATGACAAAAACAAAGGAAATACTGGATTTACATAGATATCTCCTTAATTCCAAGTGGTTAAAGTTGGTCTTTCAACTTTTCATACTAACTATTAATACAGCTGCTAAAAGCAAACCAGTTGTAAAACATATTGCCATATCACGGTGGATTATGAAATCATTAATTTTTGAAGGGCTCAATTTTCTTGGTTTTTCAAAAGATTTCTTTTTTGTTTAATTTTATGGAGAAAGCTCTATAATCCTAATTTTAATCATTTTTTAACAGTTTATGAATCTTTATATCAGTTAAATGAGGGTAACCATGAAATTAAGGAAAATAAATTCCTCATGAAAATCTATGATTTTACAAGTAAGGTAAATCCCTTCAAAGTTAGGTTATAGAGTATACAACACTACATAAACAACTATGGAGTTTGATAAGGTGAACATGATATTATTTTGAACCAATTTGCCATCCCATGATGTCTTCACATCTCAAATATGGCAGTTGTAGGTGAAATAGTATAAGACATGTCATCTTGACTAACATACAAATTGACACGTTTAAACTTGAAGTCACTTTTGTAGATGTGAATTTCATTATTAATTGAAACACATTTCATGACCCCATATTAAAACACAAAAGTAGACAGGCTTACCTTCCAGTCGTTTGCTTTTTTTGGGTCAGCACCACCCTCATTCACAAGCATCTTGAGGACAAAGTACCAGCCATAAGCTGCAGCATAGTGCACCAGTGAGTTGTTGGAGCTATCCACACGATTGGGGTCTGCACCCAGAAACAGTAGGTATGATGTCACTGTCACACTGCCATTCATGACCGCATGAGTCAGTGCTGTTCTCTTGAATTTATCTGCAAAATATCAAGATTATATCAAAATCGTACAAAAGGAAAAATCTTTCTTATCAATGTCTTGTCTTCTCTACTTTGACTCTCTAAATGGCTTGTTTTTCCATCAAACTTTCACTAATATAGAAGAACAAATTGTAGGCAAATTGAATTCCTTTCCCAAGTTCTTTAAAATTATCAAAATCCACTAAGATTTCAAGTTTATCAACCAAAACTGGACCAAAGCAATCAAAATCTCATTTTCTGTTCTGACTGAACTTTATTCTAAATTTGATAACAAAGTTGTTCTATAAGTGACAAACCAATATAACACTGCCATGAGTGGTTACTTATTTATATTCCAGGTCACTGTTGAGTTTCAAGATTGCACTGTTGGTTACAATATGTGACCAATCTAAATCTAAAAGCTTTGTCAGGATCGGATTGTCAAGATAATTTAACAAATATGTATTAATAAATAATGGGCGATCCAACACTCCTAATGTAAGAATTTGCCGTAGTGTCTTCGATTGGATCCTTAGGATTCAATAGAGTTCCTTACTAATAAAACATAATATAACAAAAAGGAATCTCAACAACACAAAGACTTTTTGTAAAGCTGTCTACATGTTTCGGCCACTATGCGACTGTCATCAGGACAAATTTTATTTTGGAAAAAAGCGTATCTGTATCAATAGGTTCTAGTTCAATATTCTTCTGTGGGATTGTGTTAGCTGGAATTACTCTAAATTTAACATTATCAAAGTTTTTGCGGCCGGTAAATTAAAATGGTGGGGTCCATGTGACAGGGATCGATCCTACTGATACAGATACGCTAGCAGAAGAGCTATATCTCTCCGACTCGGTAGACGAACACTTCAATACCTATAGTGACCACATGTATGTACATGAGAATCCAACATCATCCTTGAATGACAGTATTAACAGCGTGACCACTGATGTACAGGATGAAGATCCTATTTTTTTTACAAAACCGTAAAATTAGTGTAAACAGTATTTACGGAATTTTCTAATCGATTAATATGTAACTTTTAACTATATAGTTGTTGCAACGTCAGCTGAACTATGATGTCATAATGTCCATTGAGCCGCATTTTCATACCTTAGATGCTTTTTTCCAAAATAAAATTTGTACTGATGACGGTGGCATAGCGGCCGAAACATGTAGACAGCTCTACAAAAAGTCTTTGTGTTGTTGAGATTCCTTTTTGTTTTATTATATTAAATATGTATTAAAGGTAAAGTTCAGAATGTAGAATGTCTATTAAGCTGTGATAAGATAGATATTAAAAGATCAATTCAGTCTTTGGACCAAGTGATCTAGTAACAGAAAAATATGCTGATAACCAAATGTGACATTTACCACCAAAGCAAAACAGAAGAATACACTGTGTAATGTAAAACACTAAAGATAAGACCAATTGTACAAACCAAGCTGTTCCACGACGGCACCTGCTTGTATAAGCAGTCTGGCTATGTCCAAATTCCCCTTTCCTGCTGCAATCATCAATGGCGAGACTTTTTCTTTGCCAGCTGATAAAGGTTTGTTTACATCAACACCATGTTTTAAAAGAGACCGGACAACTTCCTGTTAAAAGCAAGACATTTTCTGATATAACCACTGAAAAACAATTAATTAATGGGACTGATGGGGCTGACTTTCGCTTTGCAAGCTGATAAAGGTTTGTTTACATCATTACCATAACTCAGAACTGACAAGACACAAGAACTATATTTTCCATTACTTACTGCATTGCCACTTTGCACAGCAATATGGATAGGACAGACTGTCTCCCAGTTTGGACGATTGATACCTCCAATGCCCCATTTGGCTATCATCGGATCGCCTCCATCGCCCTCAGCAACATTCTTAGCTGTAGCTGTTTTCAACAATAGGTCTATGTTCTTTGGTCGCTCTGCATAGCAGGCATAGTGTAAAGGGGTGAACCTTCTCTTGGTCACTTCATTTGGATTTGCTCCTCTACAGAATAATTGATAGCTAGCAATTAATTAAACGCAATAATCAATTTTGATTGAAAGTCAGAAACCTTGTAACCTATTAGTTTCATTTTTGGTTCTTGTAAATTAAACAATAAGCCCAATTTCCCAGATATAATATTTTAATGTCTGGAACATTTTTGAGGATGTTCAAAGTAAATATTTTCTATACTTACTTCTTGATTAGGAGTTCCAGAGGTGCGATAGACTCACATGCAGCAGCATAGTGTATGGGCCTCCTGCCACTTTTGTCCTCTAGGCTGATATCTGGCTCCACTGACAAAAGCTTCTCCAAGTACTTGGTATTGGGATTGATACATGCACAATGCAGTGGTGTCATCTGAACATAAAACAAAATAGAATTTCATGAAGCTGTTCCTCACCCATCATATAATATTAATACATGATTTGATAAAATCTCAACTAAGCAGGGCTACAAAATAACCTTGGTGGCTTTTTCAAATATTTCAGAAATCAGTCACAACAGCAATGCATGTTGCCCTTTAACTGAAAGAGATGTCGTGAAAACAACATTTTTTTTATTGATATCAAGTTTTCATAGGCATTTTATCATTGACCTAATGCTGGATATGGATATATGGATGAAGATAGTGTAATAGCTTTTCTGTATTTAATATGCTGTCAACTTAATAATCACACCTCAGCAGAAAACCTAAGGAAACAAAAAACTTTCTACTTTACTTATAAACACCAACTAACTTGCAGCAGTTCTACTTTACTTATAAACACCAACTAACTTGCAGCAGTTCTACTTTACTTATAAACACCAACTAACTTACAGCAGTTCTACTTTACTTATAAACACCAACTAACTTACAGCAGCATTGTTTAAAGGTTTTTTCCTCACAGATGCACTTTGGAATGGTTTCAAGTCTTCATTATTGAAAACCAGTACCTTGAATACACAAAAGTCAAAGATTATATTACACAGTTTTAACAAAAATGAAATGATGTTTTTAACCTTGATAATCATGACTGTAAAGACATAAATATAGCAATCTGATATTTTTGTAAGAATCAAATATGATCTAAATTTAAAATAGTGAAAAGGAGAGGGAAAAAATATATCAGGGCACCTGTGTAGCTGTTCATGAATATTCATGAACATTATACTTTCGTGTTTCATTTCACTTAATTATGAGAAAAGGAAAATTCTATTGTGGAATTATATATAAGTATATCTTGGATTTTTTTTATTTCTATTAACTCATTTCATATTGAGCAAAAAGAAATGCTGTTTTACTGGTTAAGCATACAGACCATTGATATGGGATTTTGAAACAAGTCAAATTTTAAAGAGACTGCCAGTGTTCTCAACCAGTATTATCTATATTGTTTTGACACAAGTATTTCAATATATATGCATTTCCTTAACAAGCCTACACACTTACATCTTTATGTAAGAAGTTGAAACCAAACCCTCCACGATTCAAAGCATCTTCCATTAACTTTCCAGCGAGACCTCTGTGACCACGAAGTACAGCAAAAACAATGTTGTTCATCTTCTCTTCATTCTGTAGAGAAAACAAAAGTAAATCATACAACATCCAAAGGACAGGAATAATAACTCTCCCACACAAGGGCTGTCTAAGACAGGGTATGCTCCCCAAATGGGACAAAACTTAAATATGAAAAATAGCAAAGGGCAATAAGAGAGTGATGATTCTTGTGTGCTTCCCTCCCTTGTTGAGATCTATTTACCTATGAAGTTTCATGTTGATATCTCTTACAGTATGGGTGTAATGCCACAGATAAAATATAAGCAAGATAAATAACAAAGGGTGATACAAACATCTTGACACCACTTAAAACTATCTTTTTCATGAGGACTTTTGATTAAAGGAATATAAAATTAATCCATTTTGATCACCCATGTTAATAATACATGTTTAACTTTCACATCTCCACACCAAATCTGAAAAACCACTAAGAAGCCAACATATAAATAGTGGCTATATTTATAAATAATTGGATAGTTCTAACAATGCCAGCTGTAAAGAACACTCACAAATTGATACATGTAATTTTCACCACAATTTGCAACCAATGCATCCAAAGTTTCTTTGTTGACACCCATCTGAAGTGCTTTGGTGATTATGTCATTGAACAAGTCGCATTCTTCTCTCTCCTAAAATAAAAAATCAGGAGAAAATTCTTATTTGATCACTAAACAAGGATTATATCTGAAACCCTTCTTCAAGTTATGTCTGAATTATTTATTCAACTTCTGCTTCATTCACCTTGGTGAACATATGCTTAAATGTTGCCAAACTGACTTTTTCTTGCTAGTATCTTATTATCCTTTCACATTAATTAAAATTAATGACTTTTCAAGTTTATGTACATGTAGGTGTAGTCATTCATGATCATATGTCAGATAATGGCCACATGCCGTATGATTTAATATCAGAATTTCAGAGTTCCACTACAAAGATGGTCTAAATTTGCTTTGTTTTTAACTTGAAATACCTGAGCTAAATATAACAACCTGATGTTAATGAGGATCCTATCTTCCAGAACAATCACAAACACACCAACTTTGCTAGTCATTTTAGGCAAAATCAAAATATTCTTCTCAATATGCTTACCTTTGTAAAGGCTTGATTTCCTTCCTTGCCTCCTCGGCTGACAGTTAGTGCCCGAACAGCTCGTACACCCAGATACATCGGATTGTACCTGTAAAAAACAAAGTTCTGATATTTTAAAAAACTTCCAAAAGAAAAAAATATTGTTATTTAAGGCTGTATTTCTCACTAATCCTATTATTCAGACCAAAAACCCACCAAAAATCTGCAGAGAACAAAGACAGGATGGGGTTTTCAATAAATAGTTGTCAACATTCCTACACAATAAACCATCATTAATGATTACTCTTACGTCAAATAATAATGATTTAATGTTAACATTTATAGAGATTACATCAATGAAGTTTACAAATTTGAGTAAATGTAACTTTTACTCAAAATCAGTGATCTAAAAAGCAAACACGATTAAGCACACAATCACAAGAGGCCCAAGGGGCCTTAACTGTCACTGAGGAATATATGTCAATAATCTGGGGATTTTAAAATATACCTCCTTTTTCCCCCTCCTGTGGCCCCTATTGGGGCCACGCCCTTTTTCTCCGCAAACTTGAAGCGGCTTCCCATGGGGATGCTTTGTGCCAAGTTTGGTCAAAATCCATCTGCTGGTTCTTGAGAAGAAGTCATTTAAAGAAGGTTTTTACATATGGCCCCTTTTACACCCCTTATGGGCCCCAAAGGGGACATCACTTTTTTCAACATAATTTCATATGTCCTTCACTAAGGAATGCTGTCTACCAAATTTGGTTGAAATCTGTCAAAGTTGAGCGCCCTCTAGTGGGGCCGTTTTTGACCTGATTTTTTTTTCATTTGCAAACTTCGTAGACCTTGCCATAAGGACCCTAAATATCAAATATGAATTTAATCTGACTGTTGGTTCATGAGAAGAAGATTTTTAAAGATTTACCTAATTTTACCCCCTTTTTCCCCCTCCTGGGGACCCTATTGGGGCCATGCCCTTTTTCTTTGCAAACAAAGCAGCTTCCCATGGGGATGCTTTGTGCCAAGTTTGGTCAAAATCCATTCAGTAGTTCTTGAGAAGAAGTCGATTATGTGACAACGACGCACGAGTCACGACAACAGACGAATCATGATGGCAATAGGTCACCATGAGCCCTAACAAAAAGAGAGCTGTATGGGTAAGTTGATAGATCTCTCAAGTGTTTCATAAGAAAGTTTTATAATCTTTGCTGCCTATTTTTTCAGAGATTAATTCCAGAATTTCAAAAAGTTGATCTTGAGAAATAACAATAATAATCTTTAACTGTCAATGTCTTTCTGTTGATTACTGTTTTCCCCTGATCAGTCAAGAAATTTAAACATATACAAGTAAGGATCAAAGTAAATAACCTTTTTTCTCAAGAGTACCGCACGGCAGAACAAAATACATCCAGCTCGTGCCAAAGAAATATTCAGGATTTATTTGAAATATTGTTGAATCAAAATCTTCATTAGAACACAATCTCAGATTGTGGTTCTAAAGCCCATAAAATTTAAAAGAAATTGGGTAAAAACTGAGAGGAGGAAACAAAATTGTTGAAAAAAACGAAGGGCAATAACTCATTCGTTAATTGTATAATCCAAATGCCATGAAGGAAAACACAATGTTATGCCATGGTTAAAGTCTACTAAGTTTCACAGAAATTGCTGAAAAACTAAAAAGGAGATTCCCAAACAAAATTAAAATGTTAAAAAAAACAAGAGGCCCAGAGGGGCTGTATCGCTCACCAGGATCTTTATGACCAACATTACTATATCTGTGCATATGTTCCACGTTTAACAGATTTGACCCCTGTGACCTTGACTATGGGTCAAGGTCATTTCTTTTACTTTCTTGGATTTCATAAAAGGAAATTCTGGCCAAATATAATAATTCTAGGATTTTGATATTTCATAAGAAATTGTTTAAACATTTCAACACATTTGACTTCTGTGACCTTGAAGATTGGTCAAGGTCATTTCTTTTAAACAAACTTTTTAGGACACCATAAGAGGAACATAGCAGCCTAATTTAATGATTCTTGGCCTTCTCGTATTTTGGAAGAAGTCATTTAAAAGGTTTTAACACATTTGACCTCTGTGACCTTGAATATGGGTCAAGGTTATTTTTTTCGCAAACTTTGTTGGGCTTCATCAAAGGAACCTTCAAACCAAATATAATGATTCTAGGCTTTCCGGTATTTTGGAAGAAGTCATTTAAAATGTTTGAAGACATTTGACCTCTGTGACCTTGAATATGGGTCAAGGTCATTTCTTTTTGCAAACTTAGTGGGGCTTCATCAAAGAAATCTTCCAGCCATATATAATGATTCTAGGCAGTATTTTGGAAGAAATGTTTTAACATATTTGACCTCTGATACCTTGAATATGGGTCAAGGTTATTTTTTTTCGCAAACATTGTTTGGCTTCATCAAAAGAACATTCCAGCCAAATATAATGATTCTAGGCCTTCTGGTATTCTGGAAGAAATCGTTTAAAGTGTTTTATTTTGGAAGAAGTCGTTTAAAGGTTTTAACACATTTGACCTCTGTGACCTTGAATTTTGGTCAAGGTCATTTCTTTATGCAAACTTTGTTGGGCTTCATCAAAGGAACCTTTCAGCCAAATATAATGATTCTATGCCTTCTGGTATTTTGGAAGAGGTCGTTTAAACGTTTTAACACATTTGACCTCTGTGACCTTGAATATGGGTCAAGGTCATTTCTTTCGCAAAAGTTTGTTGAACTTCATCAAAGAAATCTTCCAGCCATATATGATGATTCTTGGCCTTCTGGTATTTTGGAAGAAGTCATTTAAAAGGTTTTAACACATTTGACCGCTGTGACCTTGAATATGGGTTAAGGTTATTTTTTTGCAAACTTTGTTGGGCTTCATTGAAGGAACCTTCCAGCCAAATAAAATGATTCTAGGCCTTCTGGTATTTTGGAAGAAGTCGTTTAAAGTGTTTTATTTTGGAAGAAGTCGTTTAAAGGTTTTAACACATTTGACCTCTGTGACCTTGAATTTGGGTCGAGGTCATTTCTTTTTGCAAACTTTGTTGGGCTTCATCAAAGTAACCTTCCAGCCAAATATGATATCTCTACGAATTTCGGTATTTCAGAAGAAGTTGTATAAATGAAAAGTTGCCAGAAGCTGGACGGACGAAGGACGGACAGACAATGGACGCCGCACTATGACACAAGCAAAACCAAAAGGCAAATACTCCATCAGATATTGTTGATTTGAACTGCTGTGTGATAAAACTCAACTTCATGTCATGGTGATTAATCCTATGTTGCAAGATAACAATTGAGAACTTAAAGTAGAGATCACTGGATGAGATAAACATTATGTAAAAATCAAGGGCAAGAACTCTTCTAAATAGCCAAATCAAAATGTTGTGCAGTAAAACACAATTTAATGTTATTATGATTAAGCTTGATTGATTGGAAATTGGGGAAGGTAATCTCTAGACAAAGAAAAATTATGACAGATGGGCAGACAGTCCAGTCATAATGTTTTGTCAACATTGCACCAAACTTTCTGAAATAGTTTCATTTCCAAATTCTTCTATTAAATCAAATTACATTAAATATGATGTCACGATAATTTAACCCTGTGCAGCTAGATTTCAATGTCTCACTTAAATAAATCTATACAAAACCTCCTATCTAAGTTATTTATGGAATTATAAAAGGCAATTGTCTGATATATTTCACCTGCATACATTAATACTATGATGATCTTTACATCATTAATATTAACCTAATCATGATAAAGATCTATTCACCAGACATCTCTAATGCGAGTACATACGTTCCAGTACTGATGGTAGATATCAGCTGTTGAGGCTTTGGCAGCTTTCTGCGTACATTTTTCTCATCAGACTCTGCTAAAATATCCTTGGCTAGCAAATTCACAGCTTCCATGTTATTACTTTTCAGGGCATAGTGAAGCGCTGTCCAACTATCGGCCAAGGACTTTGCAGCACCTACCTAAAACAAACATTAACAACACATTACACAAGAGGCTCATGGGCCTTAACGGTCATCTGACTACTTTCTTCTTTGAATGAAATCTTGCTAATAAACTGTTTTCCATGATGTAGATGGCAGTTTTGTTGAGGCATAGGTAACTGTAACAAGTATTTTAGAAAGTAATTTTGGAGCTAAACCCAACTGGTGAAACTTGAGAAGAAGTTCAAAATAGGTGTTGAACAGGAAAATCATGATTGCACAATCATGGCTGCCATATTGAAGTTTTGACACAGTCGGATAAAAACATAATATTTTTGTAAGCTACCTTTCCTTAACATTTCCAAAATTTTTTAGCTCAATGGCACCAGTGAAACTGGAGAAGAAGTTTAAAATATGTTTTTCAAGATGGCAGTCATCTTGGATTTCAAACATACCCAAATAATAACAACACTTTAATACAAGTTTGGGCTCAGTCCCATGATGAAACTTCAGAAGATATTTGAAATATCAAAAGTTTACAGTTACTGCAGAATCTCTTTAAAGTGTACCCTGAGAGGTCAGCTATGTTGACCTTAAAAAATAGTTCTGCACATAAAATACACATTACCGAAAATGCAAATGCCATGGAATGTTCCGTTACTGAGAAATTGCAACTTTTCTGAAAAGCACACCTTTGGCTGAGAGGCGTTGACCTCATTTTCGGGCACCCAAACCTGTGACATCACAAGTTCAACGCTTTTGCTGATGCAGCCATATTGTCTTTACTGTGTTACATGTGATTGTGTTCTATTTTGGGATTTTCCGGAGTAATTTCTTTGTTTATTTATGTGAAAGTACTTCACATCTTCGCAATATTTAAGGTAGTGAACGAGGGGTCGGTGAATTAGCACTTAAATCCGCTAAAATGGCTTCCTATCGAGGAAGGAAGTGGTGTGCAGCGTACGGTTGTCCTAACACTAACACGGATGGGGTGTCGATGCATGCCTTCCCATTAAATAGACCAGATTTATGCAAACAACGGATTCAGTTTGTCAAGAAGAAGAGAAACATGTGGAAAGGTCCAACGCAATATTCATATTTATGTTCAAAACACTTCAACGGAACTTCATTTCCAATTCGGTATAGTGTAATGAAAGCAATGGATCGGACTGCGCTGAAAAGAGTTCCACTAAATGATGATGACGATCGTCACTTTCCAAAGGGTTATTTTTCTCCTCAATGGATACATTGTCTTGTAATTCCGATTCAAATTAGTAGGGCTGGATTCCGTCTTCAGAAATATCATCCACACCATAATCAGACTCCTCAAAACTCATGTTCAAATTGCTATCAGGTGCGGTGTAGTCACTGTCAGTCATGTTGGCGCCATTTCTATTGAACTTATGACGTCACAAGTAGAAGCGCCTTGATTACACTGATTAGGCCTGAGCAGACAGGTGAAAATCAACAAATTTGAGCTTTAATAACTCGACACTGGGGCAACGGATTTTGACAGGATTTTCATTATTATTATTTTTACGGCATTCTTAACATTATATCTAAATATAAATTACACTCAGGGTACACTGAAAGAAGTGTTTATACAGTTACTGCAGAATCTCTCAAGTAAGTGTTTATACAGTTACTGCAGAATCTCTCAAATTTGGGTTTATACAGTTACTGCAGAATCTCTCAAGTAAGTGTTTATACAGTTACTGCAGATAATAAATTTACTTTTACACATATAATCAAGTCAACGTCACATTCATATAGAACAAAACATATTAAAAAAACCTCCTTACTGAGTAGACATGCTGGTCATCTTCTAACAGTTGTTTCAAGAGAGCAATATCATTCTGGAAGATTGCACGGAATACTAACTTGCCATGGGCATTTTTGGAGATGAATGGAACATGATCTCTGATAAAGAAAAAACAGCAGTAATAAGGATAAGAAACACCATTTTTTGAAGTGATAATAATATTCACCAATGCAAAGTTTTCTGTGATATTTCTGATTTTCTTTGAGTGACTTACTGTCATCATGTTGTTAACAAACAAAGGAATCTAGCCCATAGTATCCTTAAATTACGTTTGATCACAAGTCAGAGAGGGTGTTTAAAATCATTGATATTACCGGATCAACAAACTTCTCTGAAACTACAGGAAATTTCTTTCATATGTTGTAGTTATCACAGAAACCTTTTAAATACATCTTCTTATTTCATTGATCAAACAAACTTACTTTGTATGGAATAGAGGATCTTTTTCAACGATTCTGACTTTGGGATTTGGTTTAAGCTTTCTGTCTGGGCCCCGTTTCTTTTCCTTCTCTGGTTTCTTTTCCTTCTTCTGTCTTTTTCCTTTTTCTAACAACAAGAATAAATTCTTTCATAACAAACTTAACTAAGACAATACAACATTCAGCAGTGTAGGATTCCATTAATCCCACATCCATATACAGTTGAATTTTTGCCAGTGAACTGAGTATGTTTCACTTTTGAAAATGAAGATCATGACTGTAGGACATTTTGAAATCAAATTGTGACCAGTACATATGAATTGAAGTAACCTTACATGACCTATTACAAAATATGTAGTTTTATGAACAATGGTTATTTGTGTATGAATGGCTGTTCTGATCAGAAGAAACACTCCTTCTATTCTAAAGAAAATCATAAATAAGCTATGAAAATTTAACAACTGATGGACTGAAGTTATGTTTTAAATATGTCTGTGATCTATATTCTATAACTGTTTATTCATTTTGGCTTAGATAACAAATACTGTTAAAACTTACCTTTTTCAGGTTTCTTTCCCTTTGGTTTGCCGTTTGATTTCTTGGAACCTGAGTCCGAAAATAATCAGTCATATGAAAATATGTTAATTTATGTTTGGATAAGGGATCATGCTAGACAAAAACCCTTACCTGGGATTTAAGAAAATGTTTCATGCTTTTGAGAACTTAGCTGTGTTGATACCAGACACACAAATTTCCTTAATATGCACCTCTGGGTGATACATAGGAATAAAAATTTAACAATACTAGAATTAAATGTAGTAATTTAATGTTAGAAATAACCATTGAACAATTCCAAATATAAAACATTCTATTCTTTCAACTTCATCTGATTTTCAGTGTTGCAATTTAACCAGCAATAAAAGCACACTCACAAACTATACCTAAGACCCATTAAAGCATTGATGTATGAAGTTGTGAGGAGACTCATACAGTGGAACCTCACCTACGGCCACCTCAAAATTACAACCACCCTGCTATTACGAGCACTTTTTTTAGTCCCTATTTTTTTCACTATATATCTTTGTATTGGTTGCTTCAGTATTACGACCACCCCGCTATTCCGTATTACGACCACTTCTTACAGTCCCAAAGACCACTAATTAATGGTAATTGACCTCACAATTACGACCAAGTTCTGATCAGTGATTAAAGTTTACCTGGTGGGCAGTGAACCACGAGCATGTGTGTCGTTCTTAACCATTGTTTTCGTCACGGGTTACCGACCTTATGAACAGGTGGCGTCACACGAAGTAAACATCATTATCGGATTAACTTGGCCTACCTGTGTGAAACTGGGTGCCAGACACGTTTTAATAGCAATCTATTGTTTGTTAATTATATATTGATAGATCAGTAGGTATGTTGTTAAACATTTTAAAAGTCCTGCATACCCAAAGATGAATTATGTAGTCTTTTCCTTTGCTCGCACCCGCACACGTTGTCAAGGGTTTTTAACTGTTTTTGTGGTGATATTACACTCTCAACATCATTTGAACAATCAAAACAACATGTACATGCTCCAAATTTTTTATGACATATTTTCACTGTCACAAAACTTTATCAAGCAATGACAACACCATGTAAACGAAACAAGCTATCACTAAAAAAAAAGGACTTATGGAAGAGGAGGCTGTCCAGATCTGCAGCTCTTCACAACAGTGTACACTGGACTCTTTTATAAGTAAAAAGACAAATCTGTTGTACTGAGTGATGCACTGGCAGAGTTAATGTGTTTGTAAATTTAGGTGAAAAAAGTTGGAAAATTAACTTTAAATTCCTATTGAACTTAATATTGATTGTTTGATCTCTTTTATTCAATATTTACAATAGTAAATATACATGTATAGTAAGATGTAATCTAAGGAATATATACATATATATATTCATTTGTCAATTCACCAATTTTATCTTTTTTACATGCATTTCATAAAATTCAACATTTATATAAAGTTAAGTTATTATTGTTAATAAATATACATGTACATTACTTAATGATATATAATATATATAAATTAAGTCTTTATTTTAAACAGAGTTATGGTTCTTTGCAGTCAATCTGATCCCTCTCACTATCAAGACCACCTCCCTATTAAGACCACTTTTGCCCAGTCCCCAAAGTGGTCTTAATAGTGAGGTTTCACTGTATAAGTAAAACATTGATGCTCCACCTTCCATGCAAATATTATCATTCTTTAACAACTGAAAATGACACACCTCTCACCTTATAAGGATACCGACTCTCGTCAGTGAGATGAAACCTATGACAACAGTCAGATGAAACTTAGAAATGGAACTGTATAGGCAGAAAACACCAAATTCACCTATCATTTTATTCATTAAATAATTTACAAACATATACTTGACCTTTGTATGTATAAAGCTAGATCAAAGCATCAACTAAAATTAAGTTGCTTGGAGTGATGACATTAATTCAAATGGGTGCGAATGCCATATCTGACCTTTAAGAGCAACTGTAATGCTTTTCCTAGATTTTGGAGATGCCTTTGTCTTCTCTTTTTTGGAGTATTTAGCTTTCTTTGCAGATGGTTCCTCATCTTCCCAGTCTGTAAAACAAAATATATCTACACATATACAATGGAATAAACTTTTGAACAACTCTCATCTCTCTAGGAATTGCTGTTGAAAGATGTTTCCAGACTTTCAATAATTTGTGGATTTTTTTTCTCTTGGGTTTTCTTAAAACAGTTTAGAGCAGATGTTTGTCCTGACTAGGCTCAAGCTCATTATCGCCAACACAAGATTACTTTGACAGAAAAGGGCATATAAAAAGTGTTTCCTTTGCAAACTTCAACACAGAACAAATCTGATGATCTGATCTATACTTAAAAACAATCAAATGAGACATACCTTCTTCATCACTGTCATCCTCAGCAAAATCCTCCTCACCACCTGATTCTTCAACTAGCATTTCATCTTCTTCAACAAGTTCTCCCTTTTCCTTCTTAAGGGCTTTAACAAGAATGTTTTCAATACGTGTCTGCTCTGAATGTGGCAGTCTGTAGGTTTCCCTTGCAATTCTCTCCATTTTGACATTGGTCAAAACACATTCAATTTCAGTTGCATCCAAGAAGTCAAACTTATATATATTTGGAGGTTCATGTAAATCCAGCCATTGAATCTTAAAATGCTTCGTAGTCTTATACACATTTTGTTGTGTACGGCACATATAAAAACTTCCTGAAATATTGTAAAGAAATTATTCAAAAAAGAATTTTATCAAATACATTTTGTATAATATTCACTTATTAGATATTCTTATCACCAAACCTTAAACTGTTTTTTACATTCAATGGAAGTTGCAATAAAGTTACTAATAACTTTTTTCTTTCTCAGCACCATTCCCATGGGAAGAATATTTTAGTGAAATTTCAGCTGAGATCAGATGAAAATCTGTAACTGTCAAAGTCCAAAATTACTACTTGTATGTAATTATGTAATTTTTTTCTGCCAGCAAGAAAAAGAAAAAAACAAAACCCCTCCGTTAATTTAAAACTTAAAATTTAAAATTAGTGATAACAAACCTTAACAAAATATATTGTGGCTCCTTTCAAACAAACAAAAAAAACAAAACACACAATTAGGGATCAGAATATAATATACATACAATTTGAGGAAGGTCATGTTTTTATGATCAAGAGTTCCTATGAGGTGTTCTTGGAACATTGAACCTTAGCCTTACAACCTTTATGTACTTTTATCTTCTCTACCATAATCATATTATCAGAATAAGTAAATCTTGTTTTAAAATATTCTAATAAAGACTTTATAACTTTATTTGTTAGCAATGTACATGTAGCGACAAGGCTTCAATAGGAACAACAATTTTTTGTGTATTAAGCAGTATCAAATTTGACCAGTTCATTGAGATAGCAATTTGTAAAACCACTAGTTCAGCTAGAAATTCCATTCATCTCAGACTATTCTGACCTTTATTGCCAAACTGTTGCTGATATTGCTGATACCCGAACTGGGTACAAAATGAACTAGTGATAGAGTTTCTAAATAAAAATATATTGCAATGCTTTAGAAAATATCATGATACATATTGTGATATGTTGCAAATCCTCCAACATGATTTTAACTCTATAATTCATATTTCCTTGAATTAACATAGTAAAATAGAACTAACATATAATCTGGATCTAGCTTAGTGGTATCCACTCCAGTATTTGCTATACACACAGAAATACAAAACGACATCAGGTAAAAACACTACAAATATTCATTTCACAGGTTTTTTTAAGTAAACAATGATAGTGCCTTTGTGACTGGATTTAGCTACTTTACGCTTTTTTAATACTGAAAAGTGTCTATTGTTTAAATATCTTATAAAACTAGAGTTCAAAAATTTATCATGATATGTATTTGTCTAATCTTATAACCTGATATACCAGTAATATTGTGTACCACTAGCATTAACATCTGAAACCCTAATAATCAATTAAAATATTTCTCAAAATACTGGGTCTCAGTTTTTGTATCTTTCAACAAAAACAACATAGATGTAGTAAAAGGTTGATCCCTACCTTCATCCCCTCTGACGGCTAGAAAGACACCTTTCTTGTATTGCAGTACAACTGCTTCTTCCTTACTTCCTTTGGGTGTTTTTGAGGAAGATGCAGGTAATTCCTCAGTGGCAGGAGACTGGAATCTGTTAACAGGCACTCTCTGTCTCTTGAGCGGTGTGCGTGGTTCCATATTATAGACTTTCTTTTTCTATAAAAGATTTGTACAAAACATAAAGTTCCATGTTTCTGTAAACATGTGATTTCTACCATTATCTCTGTATATCTTTAATAATAATCAACCAGTCCTTAGACCTTGTAAAGATATGGAAGACCTGGGCCTCATTAGACTTACTGATGCATAATAAATGTGTGGTCATCATCCCCAGATGTGCCATCAGTAATCCTAGCCTAGTGTGTTTGATCTAGTCATAAATGAAAAACTCTACTTTGAGGAGAACTTTGTGTGGTCTTTTTGATTAAGGAGGAATCAACCTGAGTGACCTGACATACCAAAAGTTTTAGTGATGTATTCTTCTATGACAAGTTTTGATGGGCAATTTGCTTTATAATTATATCAAAAGATAAAATGAATAGTGACCATTTTATAGATTACCTTTTCTGTGTTTTTAATGTATACACAATATATATACATATTGATAAAAAAACAGTCATAATGCCTGGTCACATTTTCACTCCACACCACCAAATGAACTCATTTACTTGAAAAATACCTTTGAAGCTGACATGCTTCCAGATGTGCCTGGGTTTGGAGCATCAACCATATCCTGGGGATTTCCTTCTTCTTTATCCATCTAATCAGATCTGATATTGTATCAACAAAGTTAGCATACAATATAGCAGAAAGATCAATAAGATTGCTCACATTTGGAGAAAACAATACAATGTCACAATCTGATGTCATACACATCACTGTAACACAAAATCCTTAATATTTTCATTCCTATTGGAAATTGTGGCAAAGCTGATTTACTCACAATTGTAAGACTAAACATATCAACATTGAGATCTTCTGATTCTAAGTCAATGTAACAAATTATTATACATATGTATTTTAAACTCCTAGTTGATTCTAGCATCACCTGTATTAGTCCGACACATTTGTAAGTCAATTCTAGCTTCACCTACACAAGTATGACAACACTCACAAGCATCATGTGCAACTAATCGGTATTTCTATCATTAAATGACTGCTTATTAAACTCGTCATGGGTTGCATACAAAATATACAACTCATTTCGGTCTAAATACTAGAGTGTGTGTACCATGGGAGATAACTCTAAATTTATGTCTTATTTTTTTTCCCGAATATTCAAGGGTCTTGATGCAATAAGTGATATTAGCTCAATATTGATGGATGGCATTAGTGTCCCTCATGTAAATTCAATGGAGAAAACAACATACTTAGGCATTTTTCAATGTCTACTCAATAAAAACGCCGATGTTTCGTTTGGCTGGACGATTGTGTTCGTAAGTCAGTGTTGGTATAAATGTATAGGTTTATATCTATATTTATAAAATACACATTTAACACTGTGTCATATAACCATACGCTCATGTCATTAAAATATGAGCAACGCGGATGAAGCGGTACACTATCATCAATCGACATGCTTACTTGCTCTGTGTAAACATTCTGCAAGTACAGCGAAATACAAGGAAACGGGGGGGGGGGGGGGGGGGGCAATGTTGACAATCTTGGTCATAATCGCCAGAAAGTTAATCTTAGTTTGCGCAAACTCAGTATGTACTGATAATCATTATCACCACTAATATTAAGTCAAGATGTTTTGAAGTAGTCTGATAGATGGATTTACTGTAGTTTCAAGCTAAAACATGTCGTTATGGCACTTTATCATGACTGGGTGATTACCCACGCGACTTCTAAGAGAGAAGAACGTATGTCGAATACAAAAGTATTATAGCTTATACATATACAGTTACCTTTTGCTTATAAACTGTAGAGAGTTAACACTTGGTGCAATATGCTCAATGTTAAATAAGGACCAAACAAATAGTGATTTTTAGCCTACGAAGAGGTACCGGCTTCTGACACACATGGTCGCCATCTTCCTAGCTGATCTGTTAACCTCCCTCGCATTTTAATAGTAATTAACACGATGTTAATTTTTAAACAGCAAAACGGTACTTATTATGCATTTCTCCGAAATGTTTTTTTACTTATACGGGAAATTTTCAAATCAAATAAACAAAGGGCATGGGGAGTTCATCCTTGATCGTACTCAGACTTGTTTTCTTAAACGTATTGACAGAAGAGTAAATACAACAGCCAAAACACTTAGTCACGTGATACACACTGTGGCCCCCTAAGGGAAAAGAAGGGGGTCCGATGAGGCAAAATTTATCTATGATTGTGTATCAGGTGTTTTTCTCTGAGCTATAAACAACTAGCAAATATCAAATGGAAGATGTCTACAATTTTCCGTTTATATTTTACCCCAACGATCACTTAAATACTGCAAATAAGCACTCGGAGAAAGTAACAAATTGTAATTGCTTCATATAATTTATGCATAACCTTAAACTAAAGAAAAGACAATGGACATGTTTAAATAGAAAGCTTTTAGGGTGTATTAATTTAACGCCCTGTCACTCTGTTTCTTTTCATTTGCAACAGAAATATGTCAGATCAAGAATATGGCTCTCATTTTTAATCTACACGCTACACACTACACAGGGACTGATATTGTTTTCGAAAAAAATATGTTAAAAATAACGAACGATCATGTGCTGAATCGGAAAGAATATTGGGTCTCCATACATTAAAAACGTACACCATATTTATTATCAATAGATATCATTTCTTTATCCTTTAATTGTTCATTACTTATGTATTGCATCATACTTTCGTCATTGTACAACACAATGACCTCAAGGTTATACAAAACGCTGTTTATTTACCAAAGGCCACTCTAATAAAGTTCAAAGAAATGTTATGCATTCCATTGCCAGAGTTATCCGACCTTGAGGAGTAACGGATTCTTCGTCGGTACATACGTAGGAAAATGTGTGTGAAAGTCCTATTTTATATATCCCATTTTATAGATGCATTGCTATAACAAACATTTCATTTCATTCAAATTAATAAATATCAACAGTGATAATATAACATGACGTTTTATTGATTCGTTTGTTAATTTGGGACAAGAGGAGTGATTAATGTAAGTTGGGGTATTTAGTTTCGCAATTGTTGTAAAATAAGGTTTGATTTTTTAAGTCCAAAATTACCTGATTTTTTTAGGATATCGTTAGTCGATCAAAATAACTCGACAAATGATCAATTATTCACATGCTGACATCAATACATCATTATAAGTACTGTTTATTACTTATAAGAATTTTTTACGGGTCTTCAATCCTACCGACCTACAAAAATAATGATAACACCTGCATGATTTATTGAGTTCGAAACAGTGTTAGAACCCCAAATCCTATATAACATGTTCACATATAATTACTGATATTCATTACGTCTTATATAAAAGCTCATATAAGAATCACCCAAATCAGCCAAAAGGATAGGCCGACCTGCCAATGGGGATCTTTTTAGATCGGTGCTTTGGTAAGTCGTCTTTGGCGTTCTAACTTAAAGTTACTGATTCAAACTGATACGTAACTCAACAGAACAATATACAACGGTCCCAGTCAGCCCCAGTCGTGCTGAACGCCATCTCAGCTGTTTGATACTGTTGAATAGATGGGCATCGAAATGAGGAACAAATAAAGGCCGAAGGATGTGATCACGGTATTTCTGTCCATTTGAAATTTCACCAAGAACATGCAAGCGAGACTTACAGCTTGGAGAAACCGTTCCCAATCTGTAACTCTGCCACCACCATCATTCTTTAAGTCTGTTGGCAGTTGTAAATGGGATTTTCCTGCCTACATAGAAATCTATCTTCTCCATCTGTAGTCTAAATGTCTGCCAGGCCTGGGTCGCTCGTCAACATACCCGATTAGGTCCTAACACTACGTATGACATCTACTGAGAAGTAGTTTGTTAAGCCTGTGAATTCCGTATGAGACCTATTGAGAAGAAGATTGCTATGCCTGTGAATTCCGTATGACACCTATTGAGAAGTGGGTTGCTATGCCTGTAAATGTCGTTTGACACGTATTCAGAAGTAGGTTGTTATGCCTGTGCATCCTATATGACAATTATTGAGAATCTGATTGTTATGCCTGTGAATTCTATATGACATATATTTGAAAGTAAATTGTTATGTCTGTGAATTCCGTTTGACACATGTTGAGAAGTAGATTAATATGTCTGTGAATTCTATATGACATCAATAGAGAAACAGATTGCTATTCCTGTGAATTCCATATGACATCTATTGAGAAGTAGTTTGATATGCCTGTGCATTCCGTATGGCAATTAATGGTTATGTCTGTGAATTCCGTACGTCACATATTGAGAAGTAGATGCTTGCACCAATGAATTCTGATTGACACCTGTTAAGAAATCAATGGTTATGCATGTGGATTCTATAAGACATCTATTGAGAAGTGGGTTATTATACCTGTGAATTTCGTATGACACGTATTGATGATATTGCAATATTCCTACTTCTAAAAACTACAGAGAACGTTCTACATTTCCGTTGTAATATTGTAATATTCCTACTGCTACAAACTACAGATAACTTTCTATATCTCCGAAGCAATATTGCAATATTACCACTTCTACAAACAACAGAGAACTTTTCAACATCTCCATTGTAATATTGTAATATTCCCACTTCTACAAACTATGAGAACATTCTACATCTCCTTTACAAACTGATTTGCTTGTTTCATGAGCATGACTTTTTCCACAGCTTTGTGACATATACCACTTTCAACATGGAATTCCGAGATATTTATAGTCACCATCGTTATGCTATTGCTATTCCAAGTTGATGTCCATTACCGAATTAAATATGAAGGAAGGTATTACGTATGTCAGCTAGCCGCCATATTGGAATTTTTGATGGCCAGCCAGTGGCGTAGCGAGGCCTTCATTCAATTGCATGCTTGGGGGTGCAGGGGCGGCAGCTGAAGGTATTTTGATTACAGCATTGTAATCATTCGAAATTATTAAAAAGACCAGCATATATAAAGATTATAAAGATTTTAATCTCACTTTTCACATTTGTCAAAAACAACTTTACGATACAAAAGATGAGATAAAGAAATATACAACACAATACCAATCTAAAACGTAGATTTAAGGGAAGATTGTACCATGAAACATCAAAAAGTTACGAAAAATTTTAAAGTGGTTATCTACCACAAAAAGACATCATTCTGATCCTCCGGTATTGGTTTAAACGAATTGCAACTTTCGAGACTTTGCTGCCGCGAAGTCATCAATGACAGTATCTATGTCAACCTGAGTGTCCCGATGGGTATGGAGGACAGCAAGAGCAGACAGCCGTTCTGTCGTCATTGTTGTCCGGAGGTAGGTCTTAATTCGTCTCATCGAGCTGAAAGATCGTTCGGCTGATGCAGTCGATGTCGGCATTGAGAGAAGTACACTAAAGATATTTCTAATGTTTGGGTATAGATCTCGACTTGTCCGATCCAGGATTTCGCAGAGACCTCTTGGTCGGTCCTTTAGTGGAATGGCTACCCATCTGGTTCTCCATCGCCGAACTTCCGTCAGGTAAGACGCCTTGTCGGACAGGTCTACTTCAAAGGCATCAAACACTGCGTTGACAATATCGTCAGTGAGTTGCTGAAGATTACGTGGGAAGAGCGTCTCTGCTTTGAATCTACCCTCGCTATCCAA